TTTTTTCCAAATTTCTTCAGGTTGTTAAATTGTCCTCAGGTGAGCCACAACTGTCACCTCCATAAGAAGATACATGCCTTCTTCCCACACAGAGACAGAGCCAATGCCTAGACTGAGATGTGATTACCCATTCAATCCTTTCTGCTAGTGCAGCGCTGGGAAGAAATGCCACATAACTTCCTCAGCATGTACTGCTACAGAAAGGAGGAGGCAGGAAGAAGGGACATACAACGATCATCTGGTCCAATTGCCTGACCACTTCAGTGGTCAAAGCATGTCCAAATGACCCTTAAACACTGGCAGACTTGGGGCATCAACCACCTCTCTAAGAAGCCTATTACAGTGTTTGATCACCCTATTGGTACAGAAGTCTTCCTCATGTCACATCTTCCTCAGGTCACAACCTCCGCTGGTGCAACTTTGAACTGTTCCCACATGTCATATTACTGGATCCCAGGGAGAAGAGCTCAGCACCTCCATCTCCTCTTCCCCCTCCTCAGGAAACTGTTGAGAGCAATGAGGCTACTCCTCAGCCTCTTTCTCTGTAAACTAAACAAGCCCAAAGTCCTCAGCCACTCCTCATAGGACACTTCTTCCAGCCGTTTCATCAGATTTGTTGCTGCCCTCTGGACACATTCAAGGAATTCAAGGACTTTCACATTCTTCTTAAATTGTTGTCCCCAGAACTGCTCATAGAACTCAAGAGGAGGACAAACCAATCTGAACACATCAGGATAATCACCTCTTTTGTCCAGCTGCTTAAACTGTATTTGCTGCACCACAGGATGGAGTTTGCCCTCCTGGCTGCCTGGGCTCCCTGCTGGCTCACACCGAGCCAGCTGCTGACTAGCACCCCCAGATCCCTTTCCATAGGGGTGAGCTCCAGCCAATCCTCTCACAATTTGTACTTGTGCCCAGCATTATTCTGTCCCAGGTACAGAATCTGGCACTTGTTATTTCATGCCAGTGATTGCCCGATGCTCCAATCTATCCACATCCCTCTGTAAGGCCTCTTGTCCCTCAAGAGAGTCAACAGAACCTCCTAGTTTAGTATCATCAGCAAACTTGCTAATGGACCATTCAACTCATGCATCCAGATCATTGATAAATATATTGAACAGAACTGGTAGCCATGTTTATATTGCATTTGTAGCTGGCAACTCTTGTATAGCCAAAGAGATCCATAATATGCTAATTCCCAACCACATAGAAATTTCCGTTGTGTATGCCTGCTGCATTTACTTTGCTCTGGTTTGCTCTTTTTGTGGGAAGGAGGTAAAGGACAGAAACATGCTGCCTCTGATTTTATGAAGTGGTTGCTTTATGAGGTGGCATCTGTGATGCCTAAATACAGGCTTGAAATTGATATTGGAATAACCTTGGTTACATGCATGCTTTCTATGTTCTCACTTAAAAAGACATAAGTTTGGGGCAATTTAGAATACTGCTGTTCTGAGTACTGTTGTGTTTTAAACTTCTGGCTCTGTGAGCATATCCTCATTTCTCAGCCTCTTGGTATAGCTAGGATCAATACGCTCCTGTTCTTGTGGGAGCCAAATACGAACTTAAAATTTTACTGCCATTTCTGTGTTAGAATTTGGAATATGAAGATTTCCTTGTTTTCAGTGCTAATGTTTGTTGTGCTATATACACATAGGTATGTGGATATACCTATATATGAATGTATATCTATCTATACATATCTAAGGATAGTGATTATAATTTTACACATTGGCTGAGACTATCACGTAACATCATAACCACATGGTAGAAAAAGAAATGGAATCCAGTTTAAAAAGTAACAACCTGTGCAAACCATGATGCTGCCTTCTTAAGAGTCCCCTGCTTTTTTATTAAAAAATTTCTGGATCACCATAGTTGTTTTCAGTTCTTGTTTAGAAACACTCTACTGTCTCTTGAAGCATGGCCTTTTCTAGAAAAGGTATATGTTATCATATAATTAAAACTATGTGGTAAATGCCTGTCCCCAAATGGATTACAGAGAAATCACACTTGAAAAGTTTGTTTTTGCAAATTAAATACCTTTTCATATTTTTAAAACTATATCTCAATATTTATTTATAAAATTTAAATAACCAGGGGTCTTAGAATTTTACAAGTAGGATCTTATAATGAGAACCATTGCTGGTACTGAGAGCCTTCATGAATCCATAACAGAGCTCTATAAATACCAGTTTCTGATACTATAATGTCTTGTACTGCTTTGTGCTGCTGTCTAGAACATCAGCTAACATAACTTAGGCTTTGTGGCATGGTGGTGTCTTTCCTTATGTGGAAGAGCTATAAACTGACAAAAAGATGTTTAAAGATACTGCGGACACTGCTAATGTATCCAAGCTCAGTGTTGACTATGACTTTGTAAGAAGAAACTGCTATATTTTACTGTTACACTTGCAATATATTTCCTCTAAATTTGTCTGCTTTATGTTTCTATATGTCAAAAGCTTTATATTAACTGTGGGATTTAGTATATGAACTTTATAAAAAGGGCAAGTAATTCCAGATATGGACTTAATGATAGTTTATATTATTTTTGCATTACTAAATATATTTCCTTTACTGAAATATGTATAACTGGAACTTGCCTTTGCAATGTGTGATGACTGACCTGCACATTGACTTGGGGAAAAAAGTGATATCTATTACATGCATCTAAGCAGGCTCAGATTCTTCAAACCTATTGCTTATACTTTTCCTGCTTTCAGTTTATTTCTTTTCTATACTGGCAATTTTTCTTCTTAAGGGGAAGCTGTCAAGAAAATTAAGTCATTACTTCAGACACTTACAGGAAGTAGTCATCTGTCTTTCTGAAAAGTAAGATTTTTGAAAGTGCTGGAAAACTTAAGATTCCTAGCTCTGACTTCTGAGTTCCACTGCCTTGTTGTGCTACTTGTGCTATTGAATGTGTTCATTTTATAATTTTGTTTCTTTGAAAACTTTCTGATCTTTGTGAGTAGAATGTCTTCTGGACAATGTGATTTTGAATAAATAAAGCTTTGGATTCTTGGGGAATAAGCCAACAATGCCATCACTCTTTGTTCGGTGCATACTTTCTTTTCTCCCCTCTTCCTCCCCTCTTGGCCTTTAACGCCCTGTGCTGTGGAGCTGAGCTGAGGACACGTGCTGAACTGGGGCCTGTTGTGAGCACTCTGCCACTGTCTGCGCAGACAAGGGCTGCAGTGTCGCCAGGGCTGCCTACACAGGGGCAGTGGATGGCGTTTCTGTGGAATTGCAGTGGTGGATGGCATCTACTGAAATCCGTAGGATAAGCAAATACAAGAATTCCTTTAAGCTGATTGGCCTCTGAAAAGGCCATGTTGTGGCATCATTGATAAATACCACAAATAGCAGACCAGTCATGAAGGAGTTGCTTTAAACTGGGAGGCTGCATGCCATTCACATTCAGATTTTAACTTCCCACCCTTGAGTATGTGGTGTGAGCTGTTTGCTCTAAATCTTTGTCTCCTGTTAGCTGCCGTCTCTAGCACAACAGTCCTTTTCCTTAAAACCTGGCACATAAAAGCAGGACCTGGGACCCGCTTTTCATTACTGGCACTACAGACATATGGAATTGCCCTTGTTTACGTTTCTGGTTTCAGGTACAAGAAACATAGAATGATAGAATGCTTTGAGTTGGAAGGGACCTCAGAAATCTAGTTTCAAGCCCCCTGCTAGGCTGGGACACCTTCCACTAGACTGGATAGCTCAAAACCCCATCCAACCTGGCCTTGAACACTTCCAGCTTCTCTCCTTCTAGAACCCTAGCTTATCTGGGCAAACCCGTTCCACTGTCTCACCACCCTTACAGAAAAGAACTTCTTACTAATAACTAATTTACACCTATTATTTCAGTTTAAAGCTATTACCCCTTGTCCTGTCACTACATGCTCTTGTAAAAAGTCCCTCCATGCTCTCATATAGGCCCCCTTGAGGTACTGGAAGGCTGCTGTAAGGTCACAAAAACAGATAAAACTTCAACACTAACTGCAATTTGCTTAAAGTCTAGTAAGACTGAGCTACAGCAAGTGGCCTTTTTAAGACACTTTTTAAGAATGTGTTAAAAGGATGAGTAGTCTTTTATTATTATAAAGTAGCAGACTACAATACTGAAACTAACCACAAATAAAAATGTGTTCTTAATTTTATTTCTTTGTTACAGACTTGCACAATTAGTATTTTTAGGAAGACTAAGCTTCTGGAAGGCTTGGGGTTTTTTTTTTTTTGAGTGTCCAATGGAGTCATTGGGTACTGAGGGAGTTCATAAATATAGAGATGGAAAGCAGTCCTCATTTTCTGCCCCTCAAAACCACTGCAGTATGGAGAGCTAGACATACTGCATATGTTCACCTTGCACCTGTATGCTACTTCTCCTGGTCTGAGCATCAACTTTTAGTGGTCTGCTTGTTCTTTTTGTCTCTTGAAGATGAGACCACACTTTATTTTTTCAGTGCACTCATATCACATGATTCAGAAGTCATTGAGATGTATACCAAAATGATAGAGATGCTAAAGTTAATAGAAATGAACACTGTAAAAACTACATTAATTTTTAGAAGATAATACAGAGAAAGTTGGCTCAAATAAAGAAGTCTTCCATTATTTTAAAAGTAAAGATTTACAAAAACTGAGACTATTTAGTGGTACTTAATAGGGCAAAATATTTAAATTGGTTTAGGTACTGAATTTTCCTTGTGTATTCAAATAATTTTTTTTTTTAATATATTGAAAAAAAAAATTGAAATGTCTCTGTTTTTGTCAAGGATATTTATAGCTTTCAAATACGGTGAACAGTGTATTGTAAGAAAGCTTATAGCTTTATAATCTGCTCTATTTATATTTTAAGTGTTCCTGAATAATATAATCAAATAACACAACCTGTAATTAAGGACTTTACTGATTTACTTATAGCAATTTTCTCTTTTTTCCCCCCCGTGTTTTTCCTTGATTTTTTTTTTCTTTCCATACCCTTCCACCCCCAGAAAAGAGCAAAAGGACAACTGCTGTTTGATAAAGTATGTGAACATCTCAATTTACTGGAAAAGGACTATTTTGGGCTGTTGTTTTATGAGACTTCAGAACAGAAGGTAAGCCTATATGAGGTTTTTGTTTGTTTTTCGTTGTTGCCATTCACTTCAATAGCTTAGTGAGGTATGTTCTATTAAATGTATACCATTACAAACACTTGAGTGAATTTTGCTGCCTTTGCTCATATATGTGTAAGAATGCTTTATTCAGGAATGTGAAGGAAATCTAGCCCCTAAATCTGTGACTATTAGGTCTTTGATTTCCTTTCTTATTAATTTTAAGCTTAAAGAAAATTTTGGCATTTGTAAAGAGGCTGGAGGTGACCCATGACTGGTACTGGATGCTAATTTTACAAATGAGTGGTGTTTGATATGACTATGTTCAAAAAGATCTCTTAAATACCATTTGGTAACTTATTTTCAGTCTTCTTTTGTACTTGCTGATATGCTAGATAGTTGAGCACATCTAGATTGCTCAGCTGAGAAAAGTCTTAAATGAATTGATGGCATGTGTTCCATTAATTATCAAAACCAAATTTGTCTTTCCAGCATGGGCTGGCTGTTGCTTTCTCCATGAAATAAAGATATATGTGTGGTCATCTTTATCTTCATAAAAAAACCCAGACTAATAACTGCAAATTGAAGTGGAAAAAAATTGTATTTGTTTTTGATCTGTATTTGTAGCAGAACCATCATTACATTATACATAGTCTAGAAGTTTTTTGCTTTTTTTTCTATCATCTTCTTTTTCCTTCTATTGTGTTTGAAAGTAAGTCTAGTTAAGTGGTCTGAATAAATCTGAATTTCTGACAACTTCCATTCAGATAAAGCTGTTTTCTAGAGTTATTTGCTTTGCTGCAAAGCTTTCTTTGCAGTATTGAGCAAAATACTCAATCACTCTGTATTAAGGATCCCCACATACAAAACAGGCTTGTATTTTTACTTAGGTATTTAATTTTTGTTCTTGATTTGTAAACCATTTCTAGAAATAAAAACTTTTTTGGTGTAACAATGAAGAGCATCTCAGTTGATCTTCTGAGTAATATCATAAACCTAATTTTATCTGTTACTTTAACTTGTTATCCCTTTATTTCTGCTGCTCACTATTGAAAAGCTATGCCGTAAATGCACAGAAAAATAATATAAAACAGCAGTCTGATCTCTGGCAAGAGAGGAAAGGTCTAATAGCAGACCTGGGATCCTCGAGCTATTCCAGGAAATAGCCCACCAGAGAAATCTGGTCCTATCTGTTATGAGGACTGAACAACCACAGTTGTTGGATTTCATCTTTGTCATACAGATAAGTTCTTTGTGTTATTTGGAGAAACTTTAAAAAGAGTCTTCTCTGGCAGATTTGCATTTCCCACCTCCTACTCTCACAGAACTTTTTCTGGGTTTAGGGCCCTGTTGTTTTTTTTTTTTTTGTTTCATCTCTGTAGTAAGTTTGAATTCCTTCAGTGCCAGTTCTTTCTGATGCCTTTTTTTTTTTTCTACTGTTATGACTATTGCCTCTTCAGATTAAAATGTCACAAATCTCTGACCTCCAGGCCAGTCAGTACTAAATGCTGAATGATGTGTTTTTCCATTCTTGTGGACTCATCACAGCCACCCATTTATTAGCCAGCTGTTGAAATCCATGGCAGCTGTGGTGTGTGGAAACTGAATGCCAGGCACTCTTTTGAGCTGCTCCCTGATGCACCACTGGGGTACCATTGGAGGAGGAGTCCCATTAACTTTTCTCCATGGGTGTTCTCTGCAGCTGGGAGAGATGTTATGTCTTCAAATCAGACTGATTTTTGTTAGCTTTAATACACACTTCAAAACTATTTAAGTCAGATTAGTCATTAATTATTTCTTTCTTTTTTACAAATGTTAAATTTATTAGTGTAAAGTTCAGTTAGGGATTTCATTACATTGGACCCTCGAAAGTTCATGAATGCTCCATTCACACTGTAATTGTTGTGCAGAAGTGTTAGAAAGCTTCTGCTCTTACTCTCTGGGTGCCAGCTGGAAATGCTGCCTTTCTGGATTTGTACAAAATACTTTTGTAATTGTAGAGAACATTTTGTTGTTCTTTGACAATACATTACTTTGTCTCATCTATAACCTTACCATTCACAAATTAAACAAATAGATTTCTGCCTAGTGGAGCAAAGTAGTGTGTATACACTTTGTCTTTTGCTTTGAAAGACAGACCTGTCTATTCTGCATTAAGAGCTCTAATTCAGGGTAGATTCTTTCATGGTATTTGTTTTATCTGTCACAAAAGACACAAATGCAAAAAACCCTACCTCTGTAATTATGCCTATAAATGGAATATAAGCATCTGATTTTATTTGACAGAACAGGAATGAAAGTTGGTGGCAAAGTCTACTTCCAATAAGCTTATTTCAGACTTGGAAAAATCAGAAAATTAACTGTTTAACTTGTGTAAAGAAAGAATTATTCTTCTCATCCTCCACTATATTCTTTTCTCCTTCTTTGTAGTGATAAAAGATAAAGCATTGAAAGCAACATACTCAGGAATGCTAGTTTTCTGCTGTAACTATGCCATGCTGTAGTCTGTATTTTTTTTACTTTACGCTACGTCTAAAATGTAAGAATTTAAGCTACTTCTAGTTATCTTTGTAATTGCAAGAATATGGCTGTGTGTAATTTCAGAGTGGAATTCATGCCAAAACTGAAAATCTAGGATGATAACTGTAGCTGAAGTGAGTCTCGGTTAAAATTATTTGAAGACTTAACGTTGTCTTCCAAGGCCTTTCCATGTCAAGGTTCTTTCAACAGATAGCAGTTTTTCTGACTTAAGCAAAATAAATAGTATCCAGAATTTTGGAGAAGCTTTGTAACAATGTTATGAACTGTGCCACCTCTGGAAAAATCATAGTAGCTATGAAAAGCAGAGGTCACAGACTTCTTAAAGCAAGAGATATGATATTCTCTTTTTTTACATTAAAATTGTAAAAAATTATAAAAAGGGTTTTTTGCATTTGATTTATAAACAGTATTTATCTAATATATACATGCTGCACTTGTGATGAAATCTACTTGAACGAAGGTCATTTACAACAGGGAACTCAATATTTTGGGTCATATTCATAGGAGCCACATTTTCTATTAGCAGAGGTGATCTATCTTAAAGATTTGCATCAGAAACTATGCAAAAACGTAGTTTCATGTTCTCCTAATCCATACAGACCTATGAAACTGTAGCCTAGCATATTTGTCTCTTTCAAGTGAATTGGACTTTGGGTACAAAAGCCTGTAATAGAGACTGAGGGACATGGTATTGGGAAACAGTTTTGCATCTGGAATTTGTTTGGTACCACAGACTGAAAAAGGTGAGTCACGTTATACTCAGTATCCACTAGTTAGGCAAGAAAAATTGGTATAAGTATGCCTTACTCAACATTTGTGCTGGCACTGAGGGGTCCACTCAGTCTTTAAAGCTGCTAATACCTGCAGTAGTTTAGGAAAAAGCAGATATTGTCCTTGACCTCACAAGTGAGTTTATAATTCTTCCCTACCTTGCGCATTCTGTCTTTGAAATGTTGCAAGGCCTGCTGTCAGGCTGACTGTATGCAAGTGTGTTTCTTCCATATATGTGCTTGAATATGTATGTCTGGCCATGAGAAATAAAGGTTCAAACACTTTATGAAGTAACTTCTCAGTAACTGTAGTTAAAAGGCTTATGTTTCTAGTCTCTCACACAAATTGTTTTCTAATGTGTATGGGTAAAATTAGTAAACAGGAGTTACTGATGAATATATGTGACTGATTTCTTAGTCTCACTTCCCAAAGTTAAATTTTTGGATGATCTGTCACAATGCCATCTCTTTGCATGTATCAATAGTAACTAAAATGCTATGAGCTATTTAATAGGTTGCACAGATTATATTAAAGTATTTTTGGTATTGAGGATTTTAAATGCTGACTGTGGGGGTTTTATCTTTTTATTTTTCAGAACTGGCTAGATCCTTCGAAGGAAATCAAGAGACAAATTCGAAGTAAGTACTTCTGTATTCAGATGTTATGCTCCTTTTATTTCCTCACAGAAATGAAGATAAACTTAATAGCCTGGATGTTGACTAAATTGTATAGTTAGAGGTTTAAAATAATTTTTATCTGATAATGGTGTATTCAACCTTAAAAGAGAAAGCAAATCTTCTATTTCTGTCTGCTGTCTAAGAAGGGCAGAAAGAATCACTCAACTTTTTGCTGTAAAAGTTAATTATTTTACTGACTATTGCCCCAAAATTTTCCTTTGTTGCATGTGACTAATGGTTGATATTTTTGCATTCTGAAACAGTAGATGCTTTTCAGCTTTGTGCTGATATTTGAGTTATTACATGGAGAATGTCGTCTTGGAAAGGTGGTCGTGATTGTTACCATAGGACTTTATAACTTCAAAGACTCACCAGAAAAATATGAAACTCTAAAAAGAGAATTAATATGTCTTACAGGAAATGTATACTCTTCAATACTGATCAGTCCAGCATTGACTTTTGTGATATGTCCATTTCCATAATGGAAATGGAATAGAGAGCATAATCTCTGAATGTCTCACTGCAATGCTTTTCAGACTGAATCTGTCTGAAATGCCTTTCTACTTCCTATACTCAATACATGATGAGCTATTTATTTTACCCCATTAGCATAAAAATTTGTCAAAGCTCTTCACTGCCTGGGGTACCTTCTCCATGGGGACTTTATGGAGAGTAAATTTAGGTGATACCCTGCCTGAGTCTACATATCACAAAATAAGTGGCCACTAAAAAATGCTAGACAGCCCACTGCCCTTACTGAACTTCTTCCCATTGCTTTACTAATTTGTGGCCAATCCAGGGCTTTTTGCTGATGTTTTGTTTTTGATGGAAACCTTTTGGTAATACCTGTTGGGAAACATAACTGGGGAGAAGAGGATGATGACAATACTTACATGCCTAAACTTTCAACACAAGAATTTAAGTTAAGGAACTGAGAATCTAAGTTAAGGAACTGACTGTACTTGTAATTAAGAACAGCAGGGTGTTATACATAATGATAAATACATGGTTTCTTTACTATTGTTGACTCTACTGTTTTAAGGCAACACTCAATTTTTCCAGAAATCATAGTGTTGTTAATTTTGTTTTCTTTAGATCTTTGCATATTGAGGAAATCCCTTACTAGGAAGGTGTGGTTTATATTTTCAGTATAGAAATCAAAGTTACAGAAGCTTCCTTGGAAACTGTTTTTTTGATCTAACGTATATATGTTGTATAACCAAACTAGAACTATTAAAATGGTGAAGATGGAAGTAGTAACCATACTTCTAATTAAGGAAAAGTTACTGGTGTTGTAACTTCTTGTTCTGCATGTCTTTAGTGAAAATCTGTTAGTTGTCCAAATATGTGCACTAAAGGCTGTTTTGTTTTGTTTTTAATAAATGACAAAATATTGAGGGTGTTTATACTTTCTGTGTCAACTTTGTTGATACAAATGTTGATACTTATTTGTCTTCTATAGTGATTTGCAAGCTATCTGGCCTACAATTAGTGTCAAAAATTTGAAGTGTAACAATGGACCTGAAAATTTTTGAATTCACTACGTAGTGTTTTTTTAATACTGTATCATATGCACTACCAAAAAAAATATTTTAAGGGGATGTGATTTTTCATACAGCGTGAAGACCTACATTTTATACTAGAGAGCAAGTCCAGTTTCTTGAATTAGGAATCATGACCGGGTTTTTTTTCTCCAATCTATAGTATTTCAGAGTTGATAGGCATAATAAAGCAAACAGACAAGTAACAACAGAATTTTAAGGATTTTAAAATGAAACTTGCTTACGCCAATTTGCAGTCGTGTTCCTTGTAATCAGTCTATTAAAGTTTCCAGATATTGGAATGTACTCAGACACATTAAATCCCCCAGACACATGGGTATCAAATAGTGAGACTTTTCTTTGTTTCAGGCTTAATTCTAAATATATTTGTCTTTGAATCAAGAATGGAAATCTTATGTACAAAACTACTCATTAAATTTAAGATACCCGTAAAACCTATTAGTCCATTCGAAGAAACTAATTTCTTTTTCTCTTGTGTAGCACAAACTGAAACTGAAGCACTAGCATGCTAGATAAGTGCATCTAGACAAATACATTAATCTGAGCACACAAAGGTAACAAATTTGGAAGTGTAGTTCAGCACATCAGTTTGCAACATGATATTTATAACAATCTCTGTCTCTTCTAAATGCAAGCAACACCAATACTCTGCACATTGGGCATGTATGCAGCACCTGTGACTTGGGAAGATGAAATAATAGTCCTATAGTCTCCCCTAAGTCATTTTCTGCAGGCTGTCTCTTGCTACATCACAGTCCTCAGGCCCTTTGTGCGATCTCTTATTTGTAGAGGTTGGCCTTTGGCTGGGCAATTATGTGGGATCTCAGCAATTAACGATGTTACTTTGGCTAATGAATGTGATCCACAAATTACTGTCTCTGTTCTCAGGACTACAAAGGTGACAAAAATCTTGTTTGCTTTCAGCCAGCCTGATCACTTCAGGAAAATGAATTCTTGACTTTTTTAGCTCATGTACTGGGCTGTCCACTGGCATGTGTTAAAACCTCTAATTACTTCTTTCAGGGACAGGTGGGTAATTACATTTCTGTCACTTCTTCTTGAAAATTGCTACATCTAAGGTGGACTCAGACTTTTGCAAAACTGAGAACTTGTGACAGCTTGAATCCTGTGATGGTACAAGCAGTAGCAACTCACCTTGGAACAGTCTACTCTCAGACACAGAGGGTATGGTGGGTCACCCTTATAAAAAACTCAAATTGGGATTTTATCAGTTTAAACCAAAGGTAATATTATGTCAATTAAATACTTTTCTAGTCTGCAGCACAATTAGTATTCCTATTGCAAAAAATACTTCTATATCACATATTCTCTGTATATCTTATGAAATGGAGAGGGTTTAGATGTTGTGAGGGCACAATAGACTGGGATACTAAGGGAAGTTTGAATTAATTAAGAAAGAGCTTGCATTTTAAATGTACAACTCTGACTGTCAGTCTGATTTTAATGCTAACAAATGTATGGTTATGCGCAGGTACCAAAATATGGTGGTCACTTTATGGAGGTTCCCTTTATTTTATATTCATTTATTTTATATATATAACTATATATTTGTAAGAGTTGTAGCCAATTTTGATCTCAGCTAATTACACTAGAGTGTAGCTTGTTATTGTTGAAGAGAACTAAGTACCTGTGCCAAGGGAAGAGATTTCCTGCAAAAGCTGACACATGAGAGATCATGAGTAAAAGCCAGAAAAAGCCTTTACTGGAAAAAACCCCAACTTAGTGACTTTTCCCGTTTAAAAGGGATGAATCATGTTAATTGTATGCTGCTAGCTGGTTTGTTCTGTTGTATTCTTTTTCTCTAAGAATGTGCCTAAAGTTGCCACAGAAGCATTTTTGATGTAACAAGCTGGCTGGAAAAAAATTTGACATTTCTGTAGCCCATACTACTAAACATCAAAACACAGAGAGCCTTATCAGGGACAGAATGCTAAATATAATTTTAAAACAGGGGGTTTTTTTTGTCTTTGCTACCAACTCAGTAAAAAAACAGTAATAATGTGCATTATTGTGTGAAGGCAATTATGTTTGTATGCCTGGGCTGTGCAGCTATAAACAGTATGCTTTAGTGAGAAGTATAAATATAGACTGTGTACATTGTATTATATTTGCTAGTCTATATTTAGGGGATAAATGTGCTTTCAATAATGAGACAAAATATATGGTCACAAACTGTTCAGAAAATATTTAGTACAAAGTCAGCTTCAATATTTTTTCAATAAATTAGCAATGGAATGAGGAGACACATGGAATTTTTTGAAGTCCATACACTCTGAGAATTTATGGACTTCTTAGCTTTTTATAGAGAATGTGGTTTTTTAATTTTGTTTTGTTTCAAACCACTTCTAGGTCTCCTGCTTTCTGCAAGTTAACTGTAGAAATGCTGACAGGAACGAGCAATGGGTTAAATAGGAATTCAAATATGACTAGTTGAACTGCAGTCTTAGACCAGGAAAAATTGCTTCATGCCAGGAAACACTGCTTCATTCCAGGAAAACTTGAAGACTGGCTTAGTATCTGTGGGGAAGAACACATCCTTCATCCAGTTCTCCACATCCCACAGCCCTGTTAAGATTACATTTCTCCCTTAATGCTTTTTGCGTAGATATTTTGGCCCAGTTCCTAATATTCATCAGTTTGGCTTACTCAATATCAGCATCTTTTCATTAAATGATGCTAATTCTCTGGTAGATAAATAATGGAAGTAGGTAAATCTATTCCAACTTTAACTGTGTTTATTATGCTGTATGCATTAATCAGTGTTAGACTTCTTTTTTTAAAGGTATTTTTGTCTTAATTCTGTTTTGCACTGTATTGCAGTAGATGATGCAATGATAAATTAGGCCTTCTCATTTAAGGAGTCTTGACTTATTTTGTAAACAAAATTGTCATTTTTCTGACAAGAATTTGACAACTGGCAATGTTAAGATACAATAAAACCCTGAGCTCTCAAAAAGAAATAGTGGCTTAGCAGCCAGGGGCAGAATGAGGTTCACTCTTAAACAGAAATTGTAGTGCTTCAGTGAATAGTCCTGTCTGAAAAACCAAAACAGTTTTTGAAATGTTGGAAGACATTAGGAGTTTTGACACAAAGCACCTCTTTACCTTTAATAGTTATGAGATTTTAGAACATGTTTTTTTAAAGAAAGTAACCTTAAACAAAAATGTTAGCACTTTTTTCTAGCATTGTGTTGTACATCTGCATTGTACTTAGTAAAACCTGTTAGAATTAGGGATGTTCTATATTTTGGTAAGGTATTGGTACTTTCCAATTACAGTACTGGTAGATCAACATTCTGAAAATGTATTTTAATTATTGATGTATGACTTAGTTTTCAAATCTTAAAAATTTATTTAAAAATAGAGTGAGGATTAAAGGCAACATTTTATGCTTTTTCAAATTATTAATCTAGTATTAAAATTTCAATTTTAATTGAAAATGGAGGAAACTTGAGCAAGAAGAATTTAATGATAAGCGGGGATATGATTTGGGCGGGAAGTAAAATGTGAGTGATGGTATTTGAAAGAAGCAAGTGGTTTATTGTCAGTCTGCTGCTTTAATTTAATCACACTTTTGCTTAAAAAAATGCATGTGTTGTTAACAGTTCTAACACACGAGAATTGAAATTTAAAATACCATTGCTTTTGTTGTTGCTAGATGTGGTGTTTACCAGAAGAATATTTTAAAGTGGGAATGGCTAATATTTTTTGTCTTCCTTGCATTCTCAATGAATAATTTATTATCTTTCTGTCATATACAACACAGATCTCATTTTGACATCTTGTTCAGAGTTACTGTACAGTCTCTCAAACCAAGTCAGTTTAGACAGGACAACTCTGTTATCCTTGGAGGAGTTAGAAATAAACACAAATTCAATTCAAGTGCCTTTGAACACTCAATAGCTTAAAAGTGTTAAAATATTATGATAGTTTTCAAATTAAAAATGTCTTCTGATATTTGCATAAGGTACTGTAAAAAATTATCTTAAAGTAATTTTTAACATGCTAATCTTTCACTGTGTGACTGAGTTTCTACTGGCTAATAAAAATAATCTATTCTTCTTATTAATGTCCTGTAAAAAGACAGAAAAAAACATTCTTCGAGATTTCAGTGATTAAGATTTATGTGACTGGCTAACATTTTTTTTTTCCATAAGGTTCTCTCTTTACTTGCTTCAACATATTTGAAATTAACAATCAGATATTTTCATGTTTAGGTTTACCTTGGATATTCACCTTTAATGTGAAGTTTTATCCCCCTGATCCTTCACAGTTGACTGAAGACATCACTAGGTATGCACAGTTCCCAATTTTAGACTTAAAATTACTACTAGTCTAATTGGAAAACCATATAAAATGTCTTCTTCAGTTTCTGGATGCTGTACACTGTAGATGTTCTTACATACATCAACTGCTTTTTGGAACAAGGTTGAAAAGGTAAAGTGAAAACTTCTGGAGGAAACCTGAGAAAGAAGAATTTAATGATAAGCGGGGATATGATTTGGGTGGGAGGTAAGATGTGAGTGATGGTATTTGAAAGAAGCAAGTGGTTTATTGTCAGCCTGCTGCTTTAAAATAAAACAAACAAGGGCATTGGTGGTTTTGAGCGCAAAGCTCAGGGGATCCAAGGCACTTCAGTAATAATCTAGACTAGATTGATGAAAATGTGGTTTTACACATATGGATTAAATAAAGCCATGAAACATAATAAAATGTGAAAATAATTATCTTCCAAACTTCTTAGATAGAAAATACTTAGAATGCAGTGGATACTAGGCACCTAAAATGTAGCATTGTAAGAGTAACATAATTGGGGACTGAGTGCAGGGAATTGACTCATTTTTTTCAGGAGTTATGGAAAACCTAAATACTTAGTTTTAGTTTAGAGTTAGCTGAGACTGCTGAGGCAGGATGTATGTTACTACTACACATTGCATCGGATCAGTCTTCTGCACAAAATAAGATAGCTACACAAGTATGCAGTTGATATATTGCTACAAATAGTCTAAGACATTCAGTTCAGAGTATATTTATGAGAAGCTGTGTTTGAAAATTTTCAGTAAGTTGGTTGGCTTTTCAATTGTGCATTCAATTGATAAAAGCAATTCTGTTATATCTTAAAGCTAAACTCCTTAAAATTTAAGTTTCACTAGTAAGACTTTTTTCATTTACATTAAAAACTATATGGAGGATATTAAGCTGATTGCTAACTTGTTAAATTTGGTAGAACACTGCAGTTCCTGAAATATTAAATTCTAATACATACATGGTTTAAGGAAGGTAATTATGCTTTCAGTACTAAACTGGATTTCTTTCGTACATTGCCTGACTTGATTAGCTTGTGAACTGCAAGGGATGTAAATGTTAGAGTTTTAAAGCCAAAGGGACATGTCAAAGAAATGCAGAACTTTTTATTTTTAAACCATAGATACCCACAGGCTACAATGTGAACTGAAGGAGTTCCTAAGTAAACTTTTGTTTAAAACTACAATTACAATTTACATTGGAAATCAGAATTTTTCCTGCTTTTCACACTTTTTAGTGAAAGTAATATTGACTCTTAAAAATAAAGTGAAATTTACTGTGTGATAATAATGCTCAAATAATGTAAGGTGTAACAAGTTATTAATGCATTGACTTACTTTAAAATATTCTTACATGATTACATGCATCTTGATGAATTCTGTCATATCTCTTATTAATTTGCTATTGGTAACACTTTCTCTATTCTTTGTTTCCCCCACCCCCTCCCCCTTCCTTTGTCTTCCAGGTATTTCTTGTGCCTACAGCTTCGTCAGGATATTGTATCTGGTCGACTGCCCTGTTCTTTTGTGACTCATGCCCTCCTTGGTTCATATACCCTGCAGGCTGAGCTGGGTGATCATGACCCAGAGGAACACCGCAGTGATTATATCAGTGAATTCCAATTTGCACCCAATCAAACTCAAGAAATGGAAGAGAAGGTGGCTGAGCTACACAAAACACACAGGTGTGTCAGATACAGTGGGATGAAATGAAGCCATCGTGCTTTGTCACATTTATGTCAGTTCTGTTAAGAGTACGTGTAAAACTGCTGAGCTGAAATTATTGTTACTTTGGAAATTGTTTGTTATGTAACCAAAAGGTCTTAGTTTTCTGTTTTTGAAAATTTCAGTTTGAAAAATAATAAATTCACTAAGATCTCAGAAGAGAACTTTGGGAGAAAATATTTTTATCTGAGCACATCAATTAGTTTAAGCAACATACAGCTAGAATATTTTGAAAGAGTAAAGGTGAAAATCTGTGCTCAAGGAAAATAATATGCTCTGAAAGAACACTACCTGTAGGGCAGAAATGCTCTTGATACCTTATAAACTGAGGTTTTCTATGTGTCTGAATTCCAGGATTGCACTCAGTTTTGACTCTCAGTTTTTTGTGAGTAAACTCAAGGCTTATTCAATGGTTTTAGGGGCTTGACTCCAGCACAAGCGGATTCCCAGTTCCTAGAAAATGCTAAGAGACTCTCCATGTATGGAGTGGATTTACATCATGCCAAGGTATTGGAGATTGGTTTGGTTTTTTTTTTGTTTTATGATAGACATGCTTAGTATTAAAGAAAACAGTGTATATATAGATTATTTTTTAAAAAATTATATGCTTAATTCTTGGTTATAAGCCTTTATCTCTTGGTCACAATAATTACTCAGTTTATAGCTCTAACATTCTTAGAACTTGTTTTATGTCTAAGTTTATTTAGTACATAGACTTACATGCAACTTGGAAGTAATATTTTATTCATAAGAGCAGATAAATACATTTAAAATGTCAGATTTTTTTTATGCCAAGGAGATGTTGGGCCATAAAGTAAAGCCTGAAAGAAGATATAATTGTTTCCATAATACCATGAGAGTTGAAAACAGATGGGGGAGGTCTTGGGGGAGAGTGTATTTTGGTGCTTTTCTACTTCTCTGGGTAGGTCAAATCCAGAATCTCAAATAATTAGGAAACTGAGGTATGCTAAGCATATAAGTCATACATTTAAAAAAGGAAAAACAACACTTCTAAGTACTGGAGAAACGTTGTTTAATTTTGTTTTGTTAGTTATGCCAGTGAAGCAACTTCTTGATGACAGTGTTGGCATTTGATGTAGTTGTTTTGTTGTTGGGAAGGACATGAGATTCTGCTGTATTGTGTGGGTATCAAAGCATGATCAGTAAGTGATTAGTTTTGTGGCCTGTAAAACTTGCATCAGATGCTGTCAGTGGAAGAGAATGCTCAGAAACCTTTCTGTTACTTCCTGTATCTTTACTGGAATAGTAGTTGACTGTAAAAGATCACCTTGATCACCAACTTGTTCAGACTTACACTGACTGCTTTAAGTTGGAAAGGCCTATTTTTAATTTTTCTTCTTTTAATATTTGTTGAAATTATTGGTAGCACACACACTGGCCATACCCTTCCTTGCTTTTATGTTGTTAAATTAGTCCCTATTACCAGAATATTGAAGAATTTCCCAGAACTGTGGCATATACTTTGGCCTATGAGTGCCAAAAACGTTCAGTTGGAAGCTTTTCCTAAGAAATTAATACACTTGGCTATTTTTTATTTAAGAATCTCATTGTCAGAGTCTTCCAGGATGGAATATGAAACATGTCCCAGTTACATTATTTTCCCTCTAGGTACGTCAGCAATAATTGTATGGAATGTTATTAAACTGATTTTTATGAAATTGTCTCATACATGATAGGATTCTGAAGGTGTGGATATCATGCTGGGTGTATGTGCTAATGGTCTGCTGATTTACAAAGATAGACTCCGGATAAACCGCTTCGCTTGGCCAAAAATTCTGAAGATTTCATACAAGAGAAGTAATTTCTATATCAAAGTCAGGCCAGCAGAAGTAAGTAGCATCTTTCTGTCTTATTTCTTTTGTGAGATCATTTCTATCCAGCAAAAAGAAAACATCCTCAATTTTTCCCCAGTTGCCTTCATAAGCTTATGAGGGATTTGAGCAGAACTTAGGAGTGTTTTTTTCTCTTCAGATTCTACTGATTGTATTAAATACTGTGACTAGTAAATGCAAACCAAGAAGAAAATCTGTTTTCTTTTGTTAATAGATGCCATCTTGTAATTTTATGGTTTTTTAACGTACAAAGCTAGTTACACTGGCCATGTTTTTACTGTCTATACAAACCTGCAGTCCTGGGAGAGAGACAGCTTCTCTTCCTCTTCAAGTATAACTGTTCACCAAATGTCAGTAAATCTAGTTTGTGGCTGTAACCAAAGGCTTGAGTTCCTGTAGGATGTTAGAACCCTGTTAGCTGCTGTGGAAGTTGTGGATTCAACTTTCTTTTCAGTTACCTACAAAAGTTTGTGAGAGTTGCTGGGGGGGGGGGGGCAGGAGGCTACATTTTGAACACATTGTAACTGGAAATTTAACAAAAAACGAAAATGTCAAACACTGCAATACTTTTTTCAGACTATGCTCTAAAATATTTAAGGTAGCTTTTGCTGTGTGAATAAATAAAACAAAAGAGAAGTCATACCAGCTTTACAATACTAGCATTGTAGTTTTGTAAGTTTTGGAACACAGATGTATTGTTCTTGCAGTTCCTGATGGTGTGCATAGATGAAATACTTTTGCTAAGAAACTGTTATACAGTGAAACAGATCATATAATCTTAACACTGCAGTATGCATTTCAGACTCTTATTAAATCCAAAGAAAGTGTGCAGCACATCCTGCAGTACCATTGCTTCATGCAGTTTAAGTACATTGGTCAACTAGTCAGAAAATCAGCAAGGAACGCTGAAGTATTATTGGATTTCTCAAGAATCATTAGTACAGATTAGGAAGTGTTTATGTGATTATTACCCATTATGACTTAGCCCAACAAGTATAATTCTTTTAAAAGGCTGGAAATTCTGATCTTTTTTAGATTTATGTTTTTTTTTAATCTTATGAAGTCTCATGACAAGAATGTTACAGCTTGATACAGTAATGGAACTATCTGAACTCTACCTATTAATTAATAGCCAGCTTAAGGAAATGCGTTAACTTATTTGTGGATTCTTTCTAGCTGGAACAGTTTGAGAGCACTATTGGGTTCAAACTGCCAAACCACCGGGCTGCTAAAAGGTTATGGAAGGTTTGTGTGGAGCACCATACTTTCTTCAGGTAAATGATAATTCTCTGCTTCCCCCACTTAACAAGGTATGCTCCCCCATTTTAAAGGATATGAGGAAAGTAGAGATTTCCCCCATCTTTGCCCCTAATTTTTCAGTCCAGTAACACTTCTTAGAAGACACCCTGACAATCACTGACTCCAAATTACCAATTCTTAAAGTCTCAAGTACAATTAACTGCTTTATCAAAACTTTCAGAGTGCTAACAGGATGGAACTAAACAAGTGATTGTGCATCACTGGAGATATTCAAGAGTTTTCTGGATGACCCATCGTGGTCCCTTCCAACCGGACTCATTCTATGGTTCTGTTATAAGATTTCCTGAGAGATTGACTCTGCAGAATGACCATCTAGAAAGCTACTCTACATCTTCACAAGAAGCTCTCAGGGCTTGACAGTAATCTTCATTCAATTAGCTTTAATGTTAATATTCAATTAACTTGAATATTCTGCCGAGTGTAAATGCTTACAGCTGAGTTTTTCCTTATTTATGAGCTGGGCTGAGTTCACAGTCATTCCTCGAAGAAGATAATCCCTTTAAAAATAGACTATTGTTTATAGTCTGCATTTTTTTCCCCAGCAAATGAGGAACACCAAAAAATTCTGAATTGGTCATTGAAACTATCAACTATTTGTAAATGAGCACTTGACAACAAGCCACAGTCTGCTTCTTCCAGGGAAAAGGAAATTAAAGAATCTTCATTTGATTTTTATAATAACACACATTCCATGAGGGAGTGCATGTTCCCCATGCAGCCTAGGAGTCACAGATGTAGGTTGAATCTCTTATGGATTGGATAGGCATTAAATCCGAGTTTCTTGCTTTAAAGCACAGTAACTAGGGTATGTAAAGGGTAAGCTTTCTCTATCAGTAGCCTGTTTGTTTTAAAAAGAAGTTGTGTTTTAAGGTAGACGCAATCCTGTTACTGAATACACTTGCTAGATTGAGAACTTCAGAAAACTTGGAGACCAGGAGACCTAAGTAGTTGATTACTGGAACTGTCTTATTGGATGGCTTTCAGTATTCAGATTTTCATTGAATGTAGCATAATCTTGAATGCAATGTTGGAATTTATTCTGATATTGGCAAATTTCAGCATAAATCAGTCTTCAAATGCTTAATTTAGAAGCACTTCTATTTTAAATCCTGATCAGAGTTTTTTTTTTTCATGTTAATAGAATTCATTAACTATGTTAATTAACATAATCAAGCATTCTATTCTTCTTGAACATTTGAAGTCTGCTTTGGCTGGTGTCTATTACTATAAATAGCATGCAGTTCTGTGCACAATGAAAAGTTTTTATCAATACTCTTCAAATAGCTCATGCAGTGATTTACTTTGCTGGTAAACTGTATAACCTAGTTTTATAGTAATAAAATAGAATTGAGTAAAGAAAAAACAAATCTTATTCAAGTCAAAAATCCTAAACTGACCACTACCATTTGCAAGTATGAAAGTTTTCAGGAGCATTAATAGGTATGAGATGATCTTATTACAGAAATTCTGACATAATAAAAATAAGTGGATTTTATTCCAATCAGAAGTGGCTTTTCCTAACCAGGAATGACATTACAACAAGAATTATGTAATAAATACTTCAACCATTCTGTAAAATCCATATATTCCACTGATGTCATCTGACGGAAAATCCTCAGAACGTCTCATCCCGATTTAAAAACAGTAAAATAAATCCAGCTCTATTTTCCTCCAAAGATAAAAAGCAGAAAGCAATTGCTGCAGTGTGTAAAGCTTGTGTATGATGCCACAGTAAATTGTATACAGTTTAGATGTATATTTTTAGCTTTCAAATTTCTTAGCATGCCCTGTATAACATGGTAAGATTCCTTGTGTTGTCTTATGTAATGTTTCAGTTTTTCTCAAATAACCACCTTAAGATAGATTTTCTTATGTGTAGGAAATTCAGCCAATATATGAAGTTATTTTAAAAAGTTGCAATGAAATACTGAAATATTGAAAATGACAACCAAAAGGCATGGTACTCACTTATTATCAGCTCAAACTCATGGGATTCCAGTACCATTTTCAAAGAGCAACAATCTACTTCAAAAATATAGTCAGACTATATATCTACATTAATCTTTTGAGGTAAGCTCAGCTGGCAGCTCTGGATCTTAACCAGCATCTGCAGAAACGTGCTTATATTTACACTTTATGGGATTTTATTTGAAATTTTCACAATTGTTTGTGTCTCCTCAGAATACCATAAAGTGGTAAAAGCATAGTTTTCAGTTATTTTATGTAATTAAACCTGTAATACAAAAAATCCATTCAAGTGCCCTTAATCAGGAAGTAATTAGTTCTCTTGTTTTTTCCACATTAAAAGATTAAAAGTTTATCTCAGCAGGGTGGAAGATAAAAATGGCAGTTAATGCTGTAACCTTGCCAAAACTGGAAAATCAAGAACAGAAGGAACCTTGGAAAAACCCTTTTAGCCTTCTTCCTCTTAGTGCATAATGCATTCTCTCTTGGAAATAATGGGGAGAAAGACTGTTTTACAGAAGCAAGGAAAGTGAAGCTCCATATAGTTGCAATTTTATTACATAAGCAGCCTTAGTGCAGAAGGGTGGATGAGTTTGTCTTGAACTGTTTTCTTTAAAAATGTGTTGGAACAGATTAAGATTCAGGTGTGTGCCTGTGCACCTTAGGCATGGGGGATTGGATCCTTCTGGCTAGTGCTATTGCAAAGCCATAAACATACTCTCTTAGAGAAAATGGTAATCTACTGAGCTGTATTGTTTGCATGGCAAGGTTTTGGTAGTGGGGGGGCTACAAGGGTGGCTTCTGTGAGAAGCTCCAGAAACTTCCCTTATGTCTGATAGAGCTAATGCAAGACAGCTCTAAGATGAACCTGCTGCTGGCTAAGGCTGAGCCCATTGGTGACAGTGTTGATGTATTTAAGAAGGGGAAAAAACTACTGTGCAACAGCAGTGGCAGCTGGGGAGAGGACTGAGAATATGTGAGGGAAGCAACTGTGCTGACCCCAAGGTCAATGAAGAAGGAGGAAGAGATGCTCCAGGTGCCAGAGCAGAGATTCCCCTGCAGCCCTTGGTGCAGACCATGGTGAGGCAGGCTATCACCCTGCAGCCCATGGAGATCCATGGTGGAGGACCCCATGCTGGAGCAGAGGGATGCCTGAAGGAGACTGAGACCCTGCACTGAGGAGGGTTTGCTGGCAGGACTTTTGATGGCATGGGGAACCCATTATGGAACAACCTGTTCTTTGAAGGACTGCACCCTGTGGAAGGGACCCTTGCTGGAGTTGTTTGTGAAGAACTCCAGAGCCTGTGAGAAGGGCTCATATTGGGACTTTCCTGTAGGACTGACTCCCATTGGAGGAACCCTACTCTGGAAGAAGGGCGTGAGGAGTCCTGCCCCCTATGAGAAGGGAGTGTCAGAGACACTGATGTGTGTGATGAATTGACCACAGCCTCCATTCCCTGTCCCCCTGCCCTGCTGGTGAGGAGGAGGTAGAGCAAATTAGGAGTAAAAATTAAGCCTGGTATTTTTAAGATTGGGTTTATTTCTCATTACCCTACTCTGATTTGATTGATAATAAATTCAATTAATTCTTCCCCAAGTCGAGTCTGTTTAGCTCATGATGACATCTCGACCCATGAGCTTCTTGTTGTATCTTTTTCTCTCTGGTCCAGCTGAGAAAGGGGAGTGGCTTTGGTGAGACTCTCATATCCAGCCAGGGTCAACTCACCATAGTAGCTCACTATCTTTTTGCTAGGTATCTGAAAACTCTTCAATTTTACTGACATATCTTTAGAACAACTGTCATAGTTTTCAGAACCCAGTACTGGATACTGTTTTAACATATGTTGATCAGATTCCACTGACACAGATATTCCTGTGCAAATGCTTCAAAAGAAGAGAACAAAGTCAGCTTACTCTGAGGTCTCGCTTGCTAATCTGTGCCGTCCTCAATGCAAAGGGCACAGTAATTGCTGGTTCTGCTTGAAAGAAGCTGATGTTCAGTGAGCTGCTCATTCTTTGCAGATCCTCAAATCAGAAAGCTCTATTTGCAATAATCTTGATAGTTCTATACAGAGAGAGAATAGGCCGTGGAGACTGCCGTGCTAGGTGAGCATGTATTTGCAGCATTACATTGATCCAGGAAATGACATCAAAGGCCTTGCCAGAGAAGTGGGGACTGGGAAGAGTTCTTGCAGTGATGACTGTTTATCTTATCAAAAAGGATGGCACAGGTACAAACAGTATCCTCGGTGTTGCAGTTGATGGCTCAGATTTCAGAAACAAAGTACAAGCCATGAGGGTTAGATGAATATGAACTTTGAGATCCTCAGACTAAAGGAAATTCAGGGAGGTATAGAGGACCTGTCTTCAAACTCATGTGATGTCAAAACCTGGGGGAACAAAACAGAATCTCTTACAGCCAATTCTGCCACATTGATACTTGGACTTTCTTGACATTGACTCCAATATTTAAGGTACAAACATACATACCCAGCATTAACAGTACAAGTAACTGAAGCTCTTTTTCACCCCTTTCACAGTATGGTTTTCCCCCCCACTCCTTATATCCAGCAAACATCAACCTATGTAAATGTATAAATGACTTTGTGAAGAAACCAGTCTGACTGTAAACTGTTAGGCTACTTACTGTTGGGTCACAACTCTCCAGCCATCTCAGTCTTTTTGCACTTGATACAGCATTCTATACAACTTTGAGATGCTATTCCCTAACTTTGAGGAACAAGTGCTGTATTGGTACCTCAGAATATAGGAAAGACAGTGGAAGTGAAACGTACAGTTTTTACTATAAGTAACATTCTAGGGAGAGAGATCTGAGAGGTATTCTGCATGGACCTATAATGGCCTTGGCTTTCTACAAAAAAATACAATTTAACCAAGATAGCACCATGAGAATCCCAGATGCTTAGTCATACTGTGGAAAAATGTGATGGTTATCAGTGTCACTCCAACTGCAAATAGTAAATAACATGCATTGTTTTGGAAGGTCTTTGAAGAGTTTGCAGTAGAATCCTTTTTTGGAGACCACAAATTATGCACATGGACTGAAGCTGGAATACAATAACTAGCTTTAAAGTACCTAATTAAATACCTAAAATAAAACCCTTTTAACTGACTTTCCTCATACTTTCTTTCTAGACTTGTATCACCGGAACAGCCTCCAAAAGCAAAGTTTCTAACCTTGGGTTCCAAGTTCCGCTACAGTGGACGTACGCAAGCACAGACACGGCAGGCAAGCAACCTCATAGACAGACCAGCTCCGTACTTCGAACGCACGTCAAGCAAACGTGTTTCCAGAAGCCTTGATGGAGGTATGAAATTTGACATATTTTTTCAGTGTAATGATTACATTGTGTGCTGTCACTCTGATCTGACCAACATTCAAAAATATCGACATTATGGATGGCCAGAAGGTCAACTGACAAAATTTATGAATTTCAGTTTCTAATGGGTGACGTGTGAGGAGTAGCCACTTCATGTATTTATCAATGTTAGGGGACCTAAACAATAAGTTAAGTCTCTGCCTAAATTGTATGGCACTGCTGTGAATATATGGAGAATTCTATTCTGGGTACATAGCATCCGTGTACACTACTCATATCTTTTTTTATGGGATAGGCATGCATTATAGGCTGTTAATCAGAATTGTTTGGTCAGTGGCATCTTTTGGGATCTAGGTTGGCCTGAATGTCTCTACAATAAACATAAAAGGATGAACAAGTTTTTTTCCTAGTTTTCTATCATTTAGTTCAGTATATTGCTATTCTTGTATATTTATTCAATACCTTAGTGTTTAGTTAAAAAATTTTATGTTGACTTTGAATAGCTAAAGGGTTTGGGGTTTTTTTGTCATTACTAGAGTTCGGTTTCTTTGAGCAGAAATACTGTCTGGTTTCCTTTATTGGAAACAGGCATTCTTTTCAAAGGCAAGTATGCCAGCAGTATGTGTGAGAGATGTATAAGCACATGTCTTACTCTAAATGACTTCTGTAATGATAAATAATAGAATAACTCTTCAGGAAAATAACATGAAGCTTCACTGGAATAAAAGTGAACCATAACAATTATGTAAGTTTAGCTACAACTGAGCTGTCAACTGCACCTTATTTTCTTAAAAAATCTTCTACTTACAAGAGTTTTGCTTCTGCAAATATTCATTCTTCTATACTATGACAAATGAACAAACTCTGACACTTGCTTGGAATACCTACCAAGTCTTACCTTCTGTGAACCAAAGTAGAAATAAGAGGCAAACATGCTTGCACTGACAGCATGTGATGAGTCCATGTGGCAACCAAAAGTCTTGTCACCACATCAGTGTTACTGTCTGACTCTGGTTTAGTTCCTCTTCTTCTTTTGGTTAGAAACAATTTAAATTCTTCCCAGCTCTCAGAGGTTGTATAATCAAGACTTTCTGGGATCCGTTGTACATCATCTACAGAATACAGGCGTGTGTGCACATGTGTTCAGGCCCAAACTTTCACTCTTACAGAAGCATCACAGTTAAAATTTTGAACGTCATGAAACATTGCTCTGAAAGCAGCTTTGCACAAAAGGATCTGAGGATTCCCACGGAACAAGTTGAACATGAGTCAACACGACTGTGCCCTTAAAGCAAAGAAAACCGACTGTATCCTGGCTTGTATTAGCAAGAGCACAGCTGGCATATTAGAAGAAATTATTATCCCTCTCTATTCAGTACTTCGTGAAGACCATACCTGAAATACCGTGTCTATCTTTGGGTTCTACAGTATTAGATGGGCGGTGACATATTACAAGGAGCCCAGTAAGGGCCACAGAGCTGGCCAGGAGCCTGTGATATATGAGGAGAGGCTGTGGGAACTGTGATCTTTCAGCTTTAATAGAAGAAGGCTGTAGTGACATATTGCTGTTTACAGCTACTGACAGGGAACATAAAGACAGAGTTGTGTGTTTCTTGGAGGTGCCCAGTGATAAGGCAGGGGGGACTGCCTGCAAGTTAAGACACAGCAAATTTTAGTTACAAGTAAGAAATTTTTGTTTCTTTGTTTAAAAAATACCTTGGACATGCTCAGAACTCAACTGGACAAGTCCCTGAGCAACCTGGTTTAACTGGACGTTCTCTGTACAGGAGTTTGGACTAGCTGACCTCTGGATATTCCTTCCAACCTAAGTTACTCTGTGATTTGTCAAAAGTTACTTCTGGAACTTCAGGGATGTACACCCAAAAAATGCTCTATTTGCACCCAAGAAGGGATCAGAAGCTTAAGTTGCAGAACTTACTACTTATAGAGGCCCCCTGAAAGCCTAACATCCCAAATGCCACATTTTCCATTAGCTGGTTTTGACTTCTCTGCAGCTTAAGGGCATCTCTGGTATGGAACTCAGACTTTTCAGAAGAGGATGTCCCTCAAAGGTACTCCAAGAAACACCTCTTCCTCTCAACTTTTTGCACCTTGGCTTTGTAAAGCAAAGGCATATGGAGGTATTATAGGACATTACTAAATTAATTAAGTTTATATCAAAGTTGTGTTTATTAAAGCTCCTTAATTTAATTGAATTGTCCTCTATTTCATTACTACTATTTTGACTAAGCCAGTCATCATGATTTAAAAAAAAAGAGCCATCCTTCCCATCAATCCTATTACTCTGAATCAAATAAGAGGAAAACACCCCTAGTTTAAGGCTTTTCACTCCCTTGTGCTTTGACTATATTCAAGTGTACATATTTAGTATTTCCACTTTCCATTTTTTGCCAGCATGTAGAGGGAAGCTCTTACTCTCATCGAACCCTTTGTGCAGTTTTGCTAAGGTTCCAGCGAAAAATACTGTTACAGTTATATGCATAGCTATTTCTATATTGCATTAAAGTAGTCCTCTCAAATAGTGGATTTCCACAAAATACTGTTGCTTATTTCTTTTTTTTATGGTGATTTACACAGTCCAAAGAACAATACCTTCAGTTTATTTTCCAAGACTAATCAAGAAGTTGATAAATACCTGTTTGATAATGTGAGGGTTTTTTCCCCTTGCATAGTAAGTGCACATTTTACAACGAACATTGCTGTTCGTATCAGTGCAATGGGAACCATAGACTTTTTATAAAGCCAAGAAGCTGACAAATATTGTATCACTCAGTAAGTAGTTTGTATTACTCATTGCTGACATCATCATAAACCACTTTTGTTAAGAAGACTTAAATCCAAAATGTTTCAACTTACCCCAATTAACCAAAATTATTTTGTTCTCCAATAGCTCCTATGGGTATCTCAGACCAAAGTCTAAGAGACTTCTCTGCTACTGGAGGCCAGGCTGCTGGAGATAAAATCCTTGACACTGAAGCTGCTGGTCAGGCTAATTTAAAAGAAGGTGGCAGAGAAGAAGATGGAAGCCCAGTCAAAACTCCACAATTAGAATTGACTCAGGATGGAAAGGTATGGCTGATTTTCACACCAAAATTATTTGTTCATGTGGTGTTTGTCCATGTATGGTTATTTAGTGTCTATTGCTTCTGAACATCATACGGAACATCATATTAAAATATTCAAGTAAAATTGTCAAGTGCTTTCTGTGGGTTTACCTTCATGTAAGTGTATGTAAGCAAAAGAGAATACAAACTTCTAAATGGCACTGAGCTAGGGTTTCTTTTATTGCTATACATCTAATTTGAATTCTAGTAAGCTTGCATGAGTTCTTGAATAACTGTTTCAAAGGGTAAATAATGTTATTCATTTCCTTAGTTTGTTCAGATTTTAAAAAGAAATGCTAATATACATCCACAGGTGTGTACATTCTACAAACTACAGAATTTTCTACATTCTACACCCAACTACAAAGTTGGAGATATTATGACTGAATTTAATTACCATAGGTAATAGTATTATTTTAGTAGCCATTTGAAGAATTATTTCATCCTTTAAAAATTTGTATGTTGACTGAGGTGTAGATTTCTGTGAAAAGTTGAGTACTGTGATCTGTTCCTGTTGCACACATTTACTTGTCTTGTTTGTTTGAGCTATAAGGGAAATAGGTCAAAAAATTAAATTTAGATTTTGTATGATTTGATGTAAAAATTTTCTCCTAAAGTGTCAACTAAAATCTGCTACTCTTTCTCTCTTACGGATAATTTCTTTTTCAGCAATTCTCCAGAACTTATTTTAATATTTAAAGAGTAATTTTGTCTTCAAACATTTTTGCAAGTTAGCTACCCATTTTATTCCTAGCGAGACTGCTGAGTTTCTCTGTACAGTTCATATGTTTCCACTGCATTCAAGTCTAGGAAGACAACAATACCATAGTGGCATTTTTTTTGTTTGCTGGCAAGTTGAAATACTTTTGAATTAGCCTAGAAAAAAGGCACACAGTTTCTTCATGCGAGAAAGATGGTAAAATAAATGACTATGTTTTGCCTTTGGGCTTGATAATTGTGATACTCCCTTGTTTGTGTATCTTTCAATATTTTAATCAGAGGAGAGGAGAAAAAAAAAAGAGACAGTATTTCAGGAAGTTGTTCCAGGAAGCTGTTCAGTAAGGTTTGTAACACATGCCTATTCTGTGAACAGCTTTCTTTTTTCCCTAGCGCAGATCTTTCTTTTTTCTTTCTGGCTCTCTTAAAGTCTTAGAGAAAATAGTTATAAACCCAAGAATCAAATACCAGTTTGCCTTTTGTGTACTGCACTGTCCTCTGACCTTTCTGCCAAAGCTTTGAATGTCTGTCTGCTTCCATCTGTTTTGTGACTATTACAGTTCAAAAGTGCACAGTTCTTTACAGCCTGAGAACAAAAGATTCGTAATGGGTTCCTTTCATAATTCACAGAAGTAAACAAGTTGGCTGCTTATAAAACACAAGGAAATTTTTGTTTTTATTTCTATTGCTTTAGTAGAGCTATCCCTTCTTCTAAGTAAAAGTTTTCACTAACTAATAATTTCTTTTTTTTCCCTCTTCACGTGCCTTCAAACTTGCATTTTTTGTTGTGCTTTCATTTTCCACTGTGCACAGAATTTTTTTCTTCAACTCACTCACATACACCCGTCATCACTACCCATCCATTCTGTGTCATCTCATCTTACAAACTTGTCACCTGTCCGTGAGATAGACATGCTTTCAGATATTTCAGAGGAAGATTCCTTTGGAGAGCCCCTCCTTACCATCCCAGACATTTCAGAGTGCAGTTCAGTGGAACAAACATCAGATCATAATAAAACTAAAACAGCTTCACCAAATCATATCTTTGAATCTATGAGACCCCTAGCTAGTCGAGGCTCCCCTGCTGTTGAGGGAAAAATCCATACAAATGACTACAAAAGCACTGAGCTGTGTGTCTCATTCAGCTTCTTCAGATGCCTTTCTTTTAGTTTCCGTTCGCTGCTCGATGAGGATGGCTATATTACTTTTCCTAGCCTTCCTGATGTTTGCATCTCTTTCCTCCCACCTGGCCTTCAGCACTATATTCCTATTACTTCTCCTTCCTTCATCCCCTCTTTTCTCCTTATCTTTGTGCTGCTTCTGTCTGCTTTCCAGTCTATTCCTTTTTCACTCACATTTTCCCTTCCTCTTGCTCTGTCCCTCTGCTACCTGGAGCCAAAGGCGAACTCCTTTAGTGGCTCTAATGGCAGTGACCTGAATGACAAAGCAGAGGAAGAGGAGGTGTGTAATTTTGTTGCTTAAATGTTGACACTTGCACATGGCTTTTAGGCTTGTTTTCCCAAGGCTTGCTCAGTTTTGCACACTTCCTAGTATAGAGATATGTCTATGTACATGCCTGTAAATATATATATAAATACACACACACATGCACGCACATGTGTATATCTGTATCTTTTTAGCATCTTCTTTGTGAAAAATTGCCATCATGGGATTTTTAGTCAATAATTTTTTGCTTGTGGTTTTTCTGCCTGATTTCCTTCAGCATGCATAATTTCATTCAATTCTACAGATACTGAGCTGCAAGTGGACTTGCTTTATAGTTCAAAATGTTTACGAGACCATAAATCTGAATACCGAAAGTCCTCTGTGTAATAACAGATGTTATTATTTGATACTATTTGCAAGTTCTACTTGCACTATTAATTTGTTTTAAAATGCATGTCTTCCGCGTGCATTGACTGGAATGCACATCTCTAAAGTTCTATTTAGATCTGAAAAGTCAAATTCCTAAAAGCTGAAATCAGAAAACTGTGAACACTTTAAAATCAGCAAATCAGTTTTTTGTTATTCCAGATTTCAGATGTTTCAGCCCTGCAAGGCTGTGTGCAAAGTTGAGTCTGTCCATGGCACTTTTTCTTTTTCTACATGCTTTAATTTCTAGCAGCAGTTAAGGTGGAGACTGATTTCATTCATTAGCTGGGATTGCAGTTTGTGTCAGATTGAATCACTGAAGTCTGAACATTCTTTGGAATACACTGCTAAAATTGCTGTACAGAAGCCTCAGTCACATTGATGTGTTGCTCTGATCATCTGGAGTGGCTGACAAAATGCCTCCTTTCCTTACGTCTGCTGCGCATGTTACAGCACTAGGAAAAGGTCTTTTATTTTGATCCTCACAGGAAATGTGAAACCGAATATTATAGAACCAAAAAGGAGGAGGGCCTGTTTAATGATACATTTAACAAAGTTTGCTAAACGGATGTACATGTTAAAAACACAGTAAATATGATATGATGTCATTATAACACCAGTCTAAGTTTTTAAAATAATGAAAAAGTGACTGTAAAGATTTTCTCAATGTTTCTGTAACCTAATTCAATCCATAATTCGTAACATAAAGTTACAGAAAACAGAACTCAAGATAAGTCAGAAATTAATAAAAATGCAAAAATGTGCATTCACGCAGAATCCAAAATACAACAGTATGAGCAGTAAGTAAACCTCTCTTCAGATTTACATACTTGCAGAGTGTTGACTTCGACATGCATCTTTTCTAATCTGAGCAGTTGATATTTGTATTTGTGGAAAGACTGGGAAGTGGTTTGCTTTTTAAAGGATGCTGTTCCTTAAGGCATTCAGAATACTTGGAGAGAAGATACGAAGATTAGCTACCATTTCCAACAGAGTGCATTGCAGTTTAAGAAGGAATATACTCACCTAAAAAGGAGGAGAGGGGTGTAAATAACTAATCCCAAGACAGCAACATTCCTAAAATATTGAGACAGTTTGTAGATACAGTATTCAAATGTTTGACTTGAACCCTAGACTTTTCCCAAAAGAACTCCTGGATTAGATTCCATTTTCCCATCAACTTGTTGCAGAATTTCAGTTGCTTACCATAGAAATTATGCATATCATTTTTCTTTGTTACTCATTCTTAAATTTTCACCTGAGAAACACTTAAAAAGTACAGCAAGAAAGGGACGCAGGGTGAAACTTCCATTTTTCATGTCGCTTGTGCCAAAAATTACTTCAGCCATTCTACAACAATGTAGGTGAAAGAAGACCAAAGTCGCTTAATTTCGACATCTGGGGCCGAAACAGTAAAGGTCTGTAAATACAGCACGCTTTGCAGCATTTACAAAGAGATGAAGCCTCTGTGTTAGTCTGTAAGCATATGTTAACACTTCCTTTTCTTGATAATTTGTCATGTGCTCACATAGGTGGAATACGAAGAGGAGGAAGCACAGCAGAAGGTGGTTGGTTTTTTTGTGGTTGCTTTTTTACAATTGAACTTGGCCGTAGCTGCCTGCCTTGTTAGCACCCTATATTTTCCGTGGGTTCTGTCTGTATAGTGCCTTTTCACCTAACCATTTTATTTCCTTTTTTTAACTGTCTGATTATAAGGGTCCTTTTTTATTTATTTGCTGGTCTATTTTATGTTTCTTTTTTTTTTTGTATGTGGTTTAATTTCACAGATCAATTCCTTGAGAGTAGACGGGGAAAATATTTATGTCAGACATAGCAATTTAATGTTGGAGGTTTGTATGTAATGCGAAAAATACTCTCCATTCTCACGGGCTGCCAGGCTGCATGGGATGGGAGGTCACTTGCAGGCTGTTACGGACACAGTGCATGAAGTGCATGGGGAAAACCAGCTTGGAAATGTTGCATGTTATCATTCTAGTTTCTGAGTTTAAATTAAAAAAAAAAATAAATCCAAAAAACCCCACAACAAAACCTCATCTTGAACCTTGAATGTATATTTGTATATTTTTGCAAGATATCTTCAAGGTGGCAATTGGGAATAATAGCCCTATTTAGATAAAGCAAACACATGGGTCCAATTCACAATTCTAAATGGATTTTTGTACATTGCTTCTCAGTGTCTGCATCTTCTGTGAGCAGGGTTTCTAGCTTTTGCCAGTTTAATCAACCTTTATCAAATACATTAGCTGAATAAAAGGAGTTAGTAAGGGTCAAGCATAGAAGTATAGAAAACTAGTTCTGGTTCTGACACTCATTGATTTTAGGAGCATTGAGAAATGATGCAAGGATCAGCTATTCAAAAGTAATGTTTAAATATCTTCTGAAATCTTTGCTTTACTTCCATTTGAAAAACAAAAAATAATTTTTGCTTCCTTAAGGTTGGCTTTCACTGAAGATGCACAACAGCAAAGCACTATGAACAGTATGTTCATGAGTAATGCTTAGTCACTGAAGTAGAGATTTTTATTATAAGAATTTTCACATAGACTGCTAATCCCAATTATTTAATCAGAGACTGTCTGTAGTTATAATCAGTATAATTTAACTTGTAGTTAATAACTTAAGCTAATAACTGAAGATATCTTAGAAAATTCTACTGCTGTCTTCATTCATCCAGATGGGGCTATAAATAATTCCCTTTGTCACAAAAACGGTCTCTTTAAAAGTTAGTGGTTTTGTTCAGTAAAAGGGAGTTGTATGGATCCCAGTAACCCAACTAATGTTTTATGGCTTTTTGCAGCTTTTGATCACTATTGAAAATTTGCTTGTATATAACTTACTAAAGCACTGGAGGTGCGCATTTCATAACTGTGCTTTGATCAAGTCCAAGAAATGTGCCTTGTGTCAAGCCAAGACAGGTTTTAAAATAATGACATGATTGTTGTATAATAGAATGCCTTTGGCATAAGATTTTACTTCACTCAGGAACTACAGACTTTAGGAGGACATATCTAATGTCTCATTTGTTAGTCCAGGATGAAAAGTGGTCTTGTGAAAATACAAGCCTACTGAGCTGCCAGAAGGGGAGAGGTTCAAGTGTTCAAACTGCACATGGGATTATTCACAGAATTAGGAAATAGATGTGCAGCACCAAACCCTTACTGGGGCTGAATATGCAAATGAAAAGAAATTAGAACTAATGAATTTGGGGGTTGGATTTTTTATGACCTAATGTGAGGCGTCTTTGCATTGTGATCACTGATAATAAAAATCCCAACCGAGTTAAAGTAAAATTTCAGAATGATCTGCTAAATAGTATGTAAAATCTTTGTACAAAACCCAGATTCATTACCTACATTATTATTTCTGATTACATTCTTTTGACAAAACTTCATTAATAATTGTCTGCAGTGATAATATTTAATTTTAATCTTCTGTCCTTTAATTCTTTACTGAAAATGAATTGGAGGCTTAAACTTGAATTTAACTACAGAATACTGAAAAAATCTTTTTGTGTTAGAGTAAGCATAGGCAACACAGGCTTTTCTCAAGACCTAGAATACTGGAAGGAGGACACATTATGAAAGCAGGGTGAAATCTGCTCCCCCCACCAAAGCCCAGCCATTGCATTGAAAGGATAATGAATTTCCAAGAAAGCCAAGCAGATACATTTTCGTCTGATTACCAGAGCAGTTATGTTTCTGCATATCTCCTGAACCTTACCTCTACTTTGTATCTGGTACAAAGTGAAAAACTAGCTTGTAATTATTTAATCCAAGGTACTGCAGTTTAGCCTCAATGGGTCATCACAAATCTAATTTGGTATTCACGCTGTGGTGTCTTCTTTGGCATTGGCCTATGAAGGTGCAATTCAGAGAGATCATTTCTTTGGTATTGCCATGCACAGAAACTGTTCCTACTTGTGTCTGTCTGCTGCCAGGTTCTTAAATGTGGAATTGGCAGATAACAGGTTTTAAGTCTTGGAATCTGATTCCTCCAGTAAGTTTAAGCCTACATGAGAGGCACAATGAGTAGTCCCTCTGAAGCTAAGCAGGTGTTAGCTGCTTGCATATTTGGCTGTGTAGTACTGTGTTCACAGAAGTAAGTATTTTTCATGGAGCTTGTAATAGCAAGAAAGATGCATTTTTATGCTCCTTGGGTTCAACTATTTTTACAGCTACCTTCAGTTATGTTAGCTGTGCAGTATTCTGAAACATTTGCATCTGTACTTGCAAATTTTAGATGAAAGCAAACAGCTACTGGAAATTATTATTGTTTCAAAGAGCTAATAGTTTCATATTTTGGATGAAAGTAGCCCTCTGTTAAATAACCATACATGGCATTATTCTTCCTTTGCTTTAAAATATGAAAGAAACAAAACAAAAAATCTCGGTCCCTTATATCCTTAAACTTTTTTTATTTTAAGGCACTTTCCCAAAGGTCACCTCTTCAGACACAAGGCACTTTCCTTGGTTTGGTTGCTTTTGTTTCCTTTTTTTTTTTCCAGTTAAGTTTGCTTTTGTTGTCGTGTTTTGTCCTACTTTGTTTTATGTTGCGGGTTGCTAGGACCTGGATAAGACCCAGGACGACTTACTGAAACACCAGGCTAGCATTAGTGAGCTCAAGCGCAATTTCATGGAATCCACACCCGAACCACGCCCAAATGAGTGGGAAAAGCGGCGTATCACACCTCTGTCCCTACAGACACAAGGGGTATGTCACTGCAGACACCTCTCCGCATGCGTTCCCATACAACCCTGTATGTAATACAGTAAATGCAGTTTGTCCTTTAGATTAACATTTATTTGTCTAATGTAGTGTTTGTTTATACTAAGTATACATTAACTTTTTTACCACTTACTATTGGGCCTGACTTTTTAAATAGTGTGTGGAATTTTATTTTTCTACATGAACAACTGAATTAGAAGAAAATGGAAGCAATGGCAATATTTTCCGGTATATTAAGGACATCTTAAATTTCACTCTGATTTACACAGATTGATGGAGATAACTTTTCAGTGATAGAACTTTTCCCTCCTTTTTGTCTCGTTAACTCTTCATAGACAGCTTGTGCATAAATACACAAATAGTCTGTGTGTTGTTTCAGAAGGACCTTTACATGATCAGTTAATGTACAGTGTTGACTTCTGTAGGGCACATTTAATGAAGTTCTTAAAATTTACTGTCTTAATCCTCAAAAGCCTATAAAACAAATGTATCTACTTTTTCTCTATACCTTCTTTCTGACTGAACATTGAAACAGCAGTATGGAAAACAGTTTTCTACAAATATCATCCTGAATGCTCGTGGCAAGAAAACTACCCAAATAAATTTCTCTTGCTGTTGTGAAACTTTTAGTTTTATTGGGTTATTTGCAGCTTCTTTCATAGAGTAGCAGAGCAAATCAGTCTTCAAAAACAATCAGTTTATGTTGTATTGTTATTCTTTTCTATCAGCATGGTTCCCACCCTTCTCTCCTTAAATGTATTGTCATATCTCCTTAAATTTTTAAGCGTTCTTTTCAGTCCTCAGAGAGGTATGCTTTCATTTAAGCAGGCTTGATGCTACCAAATTATTTTTGTTAATAGGACACTATTTCAGTAAGATATGTAAGCAATCTGAGCTGTGAGTATGTCCATACAGATAACAGTTACTGACTCTATGGATCACTTCTTTAATGGCTATTTTGTTAATTTACGGTCACTGCCAAGAAATTCCTCAAATTCCTGACTAGTACCTTAATATTTCTATACATAGCGCTATCTGCACAGGTACAGATGTTGGTCATATTTTCAAATATTCATGACACATTGGGTCATTTAATAACTATATAGCTAAATATATTTTTGATTAAAATAGACATTTATGTAGAAGTGTAACTTAGTTTTTATTATGTGGATGTGTGTATTTTTGTGTTGATTTCTTTGTATTGAAGTTGAGGCCTCCTTCAAGTTATTTTATCTGTTTGTTTTTTTTTTCCTCATCTAGTATGTTCTGTCACTTTCAGATGATTTGGTTTTATATTATTTATAATGTATGTCTGTCTCGTTGCTTGTTGATTTACACTGGTTTTATAAAATGAAAATTAAATAGAAAAAAGGGGACCACATTTTCCAAGTGAAAACGCTGCCTGGGAAGGAGAAACAATGGATTGCAATGCCATGGATTGGTGGAGCAAAACCTGAGGAAACCGATAAGGTGGCTGCCCTGAAACCTACTGCCTTTTCGCTGTATCTGCTGCGGGCTAGCTTGGGCGCTTCTTTCTTTTTCTTTTCTTTCTTGATGGAAATAACTTTTTAAAGCCAGTACTGAAAGGATAATGTCGGGTTGTAAACCAGGATCTCTGTGTGTGTATCTGTATATATACACACATGAATGCCAGCAACATTTTGCTTAAACATCAAACTAACCGCGAAGTTCTGAATTGCTACTATTTGAAAAGAAAAACAATTCTTCACTGGGAAATTACTGTATTTGATGTGACAAGGATGACAGCAAAATATGTATTTCCATTCTATATGGAAATAATTGCCTGCAGTTATTTGACACTTCACATAGGAACCTTTTGCTTTATGTGTTCACTGTCGAATCATTATTCAAATCAATAATGCTTTGCTTCAAAGGCAACCCGGTTCTGAGTACCTCCACACTTCTGTACCTCTCTTTTCATCCAGGAAAAGAGGGAGGTTTTGTCCTTGATAAGCTGGTTTAACATCTGTGCAATGAAAAGCACTATATAACCAGTGGGACTAGTAGCAGTGTGATAGTGATGATGAGTAGCAATTGTGATGTTGCTTTTTTACGTCACTTTTGGTCTATTAGGTTAATGTGAAGCTGTCAGTCCTATTTCAGTAACACATAAAAATATGATGATTGGGAAACTGTACTTCCATCCTGAATTATTTGTTGATGGATACAAAGAAGTCTGTGTTCAAGTCTTTTGTTATCCCCAATTTATAAATTTGCTGGTATTAGTAGACTCAGTCATATCTCTGGACTTTACGTATTACCTGTCCTTTAGGATAGTTGGACAATAGACGAGAATAAAGCAGGGATACCACTGCTAATATTCTTTCTTTTCATCCTTCTTTTGCTCCAGTAGAAATACTTGTAAACAAGTAATTTTCTGTGTATGAGAAATGTTGCTTTGGGTACACCTCTTTTGTGCCACTGTTCTTCTATGTCACCGTACTCTCAAAAGCGCACAGCATCTGTGACTTAATTAAAGAAAAATCATACCACATTGAGATGTATGTCACAAATAAATACATTAAATGTTTTTATTTTATGGATACCCACAATATTTTTTTTCTTTAATCCATCTTCTGCAGCTCGTAAACAGTATTTCATGTCAGAATGTATGACTGTGTACCAGAAGGAATTTGCCAGGAATTTAAACATCTTGGCAGGCTGATACAAAATTGATGAAAAGTACCAATTCTATCATTTAATCATTTTTACTAAATGCCTCCTCCGGGAACAGGGGTTACATTATCAAACAAATTGTGTGACTAGGGTTTCCTTTTTAAAAGACTGGAAGACCCAAAAATTTGAAGGCGATAAAATTCAAAGAAGTGGGCTATGTATCTCTTCAATTGTATATATATAAGAGGTGAGGGTGAGAAAGAGAAGCACACAGCCTAACCACATACCAGATAAAGATTTTGGTTTTCCCTTGCCTTTTTTTTTTTTTTTAAAACTGCTTTGAGTGGTCAGAAAACAAGGTACCAGAGCATGGTAAAAGGAGGATCATGAACATTTTTGCCTTTTAGTGTAATATGTTAATAGATGAATGTTTACTGGGTGTAGTAAACTAGGGAAAGAAAGTGGGGGTGAGGAACGCATTGCCCTGATGGATATTCAGTGTTTCATGAAGGCAGATTTAATAACTTTTCTTAGCCACGTTTGAGGTAAACTTTAAATTTTGTTGTAGGGAAAACAATATAGGGGTTCTTTCTCTTTTCCTTCTCTATTCTTCTGCATGCCATATGTGTTGCAGGATATGCATAGTAGCATGGTGTAAGTTCTGTTAGTTTCGATTCTACATCACTACTCCCACAGTGAATCCACACAGGCTGCAGTTGTCTGCTTGGCACCTTGGCTTTCCTCTGGCATGTGCTTCTGCCCTGATTCTCTGTAGTGCCCTTTTCTAAGACTGCAGTGTCTCTTATGGAATGTTGTCAAAATGTGTGTTATGTCCCTGTTCAGTATTTGTACATTGCTGGCTTTTTATTTTAACATCTTTTACTTCTAACTTCTTATGAGAGCTTGTGGAACGAAATCTGGAATAAAGAATTTTAGCCTTTTCAGAGGGCTTGTACCCCCATGAATTTTTAAAGTTTGCTTACCCATACAGATTTATAGTCCTACAGAAAATAGACCAGACTATAAACATAACTTATGCTTTAAAGCAATTATAGACTTTTATGTATGTTTAAATAAAACTAGTTTTCCCAGTAAAATGGGAAAGGGTTTTTGAAAACAGATTTTTAATAGACACGAATTTGCTTAGGTTATTTGAGCATTTGAAAAGCCTATATGTAACATTTATTATAAATAAATAAGAAGTATTTTAACATTTCAGCATTGTGTGTATGAAATCCAAGCAAACGTGTCTGACAGCTCTGGGCTCTGTGCCAGTTGGGCATTAGGTGGTGTCAAAAATGGATTTTTAAAGGGGGACAAACCCCCGACAGCAAATGAGTTACCACCTAAGTAAACTGCTCTGTTTGGGAAATCGGTGTGGACGTCGATGTTTTCAATTCCCGTAGTGTGTTGTGCATGGTGGAGGCACGGCTGTGCTGTGTCCCCCCCCCAGCTTGTCCTCGTCTCGCCCCGGGGCAGCCCGTGCCCCGCTGCTCCTGCCGAGCCTTTCCTTGCCTTTGTCACGTCTCTCTCTCGCCAGACCTTTCCTTTGTAGGTGGCTGCCGCTCCGCTCGTCGCTGTCTAATTCTTTCCTTTCCTTTCTCTGACCCGTCTAGAGCCTAGAAGAGGAGATAACCTCCATTTTGTTTAGTAAGGAGGGCTTTGGCGCCAGCACCAGAGGGCCCTTCGCCGCCGCCAGCCCGGGGCCAGCAGAGGGCGCTGCGGGGGAACAGACCGGCGCCAGCGCCGCGGCCGCGCCGCCGCCCCAGGTGCTTGGGCGTGGGGTCAGCATCCCCTCCGCTCCCAGGGCACGGAGCCCCCGCCCTCCCGGGCCGGGATGGGGCTGCGGTTCTGTGTCCGAGCCAGTGAGCTGCCTACTTGCATTAGAGCGGAGAGAGATCCAGCTAGAGAGCAAAATTCTGAATCTGCAGCGCTCCAGAAGTAGGAGGGAGTCGGTCCTTGTTTAAACTTACCCTCCCTAGGTGCTTTCCTTGGTAAACAGCAGTAAAAGCTAGGATTAAGTCACAGATGATGTGTGATTTTTGTGTTGTTATGATTTGAACTCTTTAATTTTGCTGCAAACTGTTCACTAAAAATATCATGGCTAGGCTTCGCAAACTAAAAATACATTAGATTAAAAAAACCCCTACCCTACTTACCTAATGTTATCATTTACAGTGGGTTCTCTGCGATATCCATCACAGATCATTTTGTTACAGAACAAATACTAATATAGCTGCTTTAGTATCATCATTTTGCCTCCAAACTGAATTTTAATGGGATCTTCTTGGTAGTCATGTATTGCTGTTCTCACAGCTTGCCTCCCTAAACAGTCTTATCTGTTAAGTTTCATAAAGTAACAGACCAAAGATGAACAACTCTTAAAACCATATAATAATGTATTCCGTATCTTTTTTAAATTATGATAAACTGCTAGTAGAATGTTAATTTATTTTTTCTTTTTATTTTCCCTTAACATTATTTGTTCTTAATTCCTGATTTAACTGAGTGAAGTAACTGCCTTGATAGCATCACAGGCCAATGCATTCATGCTTTTTATTTTCAGGCTTTCATAATTCAATTCTTATGCCAATTAATAATATCCGCAATTCTTACCTACTTTTGATTAAATATTTAAAAGAAGTGTAAGGAAATGAGCATAGTTCTATGTGAATGTTGCAGTGAATATGCAATATCTGTCTAGTATCGTGTGTATATACATTCTTAAAAGCTTGCTTGGAGAGTGTTGCACTGTTGAAAAGGGTTATGCATTGATTTTTGTCCTCTGATTGCTTTTTGTTCCACAGAGACATGCTTCCAGAGCAGAAGGGCCTTGTATTGGAGTCAGCAATGCTGATAAGGTTCTACAGATTTTTTTTCCATGACTAAATTTGGCTCTTAACTTTTCCAATCCATCTTCATTCTTCCCTTCTTTCCTTTTTCAGTTAACCATCACAACCATCTTTTGTCTTCTACATGACATGAACCAGCCATCAACTAATTTTGTTTATTTCATTTTTATTTATTCATATACTCTACTTTTGTTTTTTTTTCCCCTCATCCATGTTTTTTTGTGCAGAGTTCACATGAGACTCTGGACATAGTGGAGGAGAAGAAGCAGGCAGAGTTTGGGATAGAAGAAACAGTAGTCGTAGACGAAACCAACAAAGGGAAAATGCAAGTTGCCACTGATGCTGGGGAAACATGTAAGGTGGAGCATCTGTCAAAAAAGGACTCGTCATCATTGCCATCAGATAGTAGCAGCAGCAGCAGTAGTAGTGAGAGTGAGGATGAAGAGGTGGGAGAATACCAGCCACATCATAGGGCAATTGAGGAAGTCATCAGGGAAGAACAGGAAGAAGAGGAAGACATGAAAAGGAAAGAACATGAAGAAAAAATACAGCATGTGGAAGCCACACCAGAAGGCAGTAAACTAAATGTGCCAGTTGAGCACACACAAGTTACAGCCGAAGATTTGGTCCAGAAAAATACAGTTACCGTAGCTACAGAAGAGAAGAAATTGTCAGAGCAAGTTAAGCAAGATTTAGGTCAAGAAAAAGAGGAGGAACAGCTCAAACTCAATGGAGATGTGTCTCATGTTGACATTGATGTTGCACCACAATTAATTTGTTGTTCTGAGGTAAATGGTAGAACAGTATGACAACTAGATTAAGCAGAGATATATCTTGGGGTGAAAAATATACCTGCCTTTCTTCTTCTCCTATTCCTCCACATCTTCTGGCATCCAACAAGATTCAGATCATTTGGAAGGGGAAACCATTTTTGAGCAGTGAAATTCTGTCTCCTTCAGTTATGGTTTCTGACTTTTTGCTAGAACTGAGTGAGAATCACCAGTAAGGCAAACCTTCCGAAGACTGATATCTCTTTTTTTTTATCTCCTCCTTATTTTATATGCACTTACATAATGTATATTTATTATTTTCATGTTTCAAATGTTTTAAGTCTTGTCTTGTCTATTTGTCAATTGTTTTTGACAAGTCCATGACAGGTAATTGTGATTGGAAAGCTATTGAAATTAGCAATTGAAATCAGAAAACAATCGTCACAAATTTTTGTTCCTTCTTCCCCCCCCATTACTCACTGCTTTTCTTGCCTTTTTCTTTTTTCTCCTTCTATATTATGGATTTATAGGCTAGAATATGTATGGCTAGAAATTGCATAGGTGAGAGCACTGTTAAGTGATGAGGCACATATAACAATGTTTCTATGAAGTCTTCTAGTGCTATAGATTTTAAGGAAGAATGCATGGATTCTAAAGTTCATTACTGGGCAAACTTTATAAAGAAGCAGAAATGGAAAAAATTAAATGCAGAGATGTATGTCTTTGTAAAGTTGTCATGATCTCCTGAGTTTTTCAACAATTAGATGATTTTTTTGGTAGTTATCTACCTGCTTGTTCTTGTAACAGTGGCAAATTTTTTTCGTTACTTTTAAATCCAAACAACTTCTTTGCATACACAGCTGTTATGATTAATGATGTGAAAGAATTAGTTTATTAGACCTTTAAAATTTGCAGGCACCCATGCTTCCTAATAGCACATAGTTTAGGGAAAGGGGAGAAGAGCTGCTGTGTATGCAAGAGTGTAGAGGGAAAGAAAGGGGTTTTTTTGTTTTTTCCTGGGATTTCACCCCATGTGTATCCAAAATCAAAAGGAGATAGCAGCTGATGCATCTAGAAAAATATCAAACGGCTTTAGTTCATAAAAATATTGAAAATCTGCTCCAATGAGATAAGTCATGAGTTCACTAGCTTAGAGACCCTGGGTTAATTGCTTTCTTTGTGATGTTGCAGAAAACACCACTAGCTAACTCTAAATGGCTTTGTCAAAAGAAGTGGTTGACTTACAGAATTCTTACATTGAATGTAGACTGCTTAAAATCCAGTTGTCAAAGATGTTCTTCTGTTCCAGAAGTAATACATATCATAAAGTTAAACTTTTATGTAATTTCCTTGGAATTTCTAGTCTTGATTTGCAGACTAAAGAATGATAAGTATTTTCCCAGATTCATTCTAATATGAAGTTTATCCATCTGAGCTAGCTCTTAATTTCTTTATGCAAACTAAGATTTTTTTTTTCCCCTAGTGATGGCTTTTACACATTTTCGGTACATGTGTTGCAGCTTTGTTTTAGCAGTTGCCCTCTATGATATGTACTGTTGGCTGAAATACTGAACTTTGGCAAGGTTATTAGGACGTTAAATTTTCTTACAGTGTTATATAGATAGATGTTATGTAGAGGCCTGATGTATTAATCTTCATTTCATTTTCTTTATTGCATGCTTTTTGATTGGGAAGCCAGCCAAATATTTATCTTACTATTATGATTTTCTTGAGCTTTTGGTTGTGTTTTCTTGGTCCACTTTACAAACTTCTTCTATCTTTTTGAATTGATTGATTATTTCTTGCATCACAGCCTCCAGTAGTGAAAACAGAGATGGTAACCATTTCAGATGCCACGCAGAGAACTGAAATCTCCACTAAAGAAATTCCAATTGTGCAAACAGAAACTAAAACTATCACATATGAATCTTCACAGGTATGCTGACTGGCTTGTTATATTGTTTGCAAACTTATTTTTATTCCAGTTATGTAGATAAAAATAGATAATGTCCAAAAATGCTTTTCAAAAGCACATACTTTTTTGCTAGCAGATAAGATTATACTTTGGCTATGAATTAGGTAAGTAGACAAAGCAGTATTACTTCAGAAGTTCAAATTGTTTTTTTTCTAAATAAAGATTTAGTTACTGTCTGCGAACGTGTAACTCATTTTTAGTCTTGGAAACTTGATTAAAATATCTCATTGCTCCTGAAAGGAACACATAACTGTGATCATGAAGTTTCCACAGGAATGAACCATGACAATAGTCTTACATGATTTTGTAAACTTGGATAGTTTCTCTTTAGATTTCAGTTCTAATGGAACTAAAGAATATGTAAACCAGCCTTTTCTCTTGTGAAAACAAAATTTTTAAATGCCAAAAGACAAAAATACCTTTTTTTTTTTTAATTACAGCTTGATGGCAGCGCTGGTGGCGATGCCGGCATGCTGGTGAGTGCGCAGACAATTACGTCAGAGTCCGTTTCTACTACCACAACTACACACATCACAAAGGTAAAATATATTTAATGCCTTTCTTAACTAAAAAAGACATCAAACCCTCAAAACACAGTCTTGCATGAAGTTTCTCATCTATCTGCTAATTCATCGAAGAAAAGTGACTTAAAATGGAATGGATTCATTCCAGGCATGTGTGAGAGTTAATCTTTCTGTACACAGATTTTTGAACAGAGAAGCCTTAAGAAGCAGAAATATCTGGGAACAGGACAGGGAAAGGGGGAAAAGTATCATTAGTGGTTTTTTAGTATTTCATGTAGGTCTTATTTCAGTGTTTGACAAATGAATATGTAACTAAATTTCAGGACTGAACTAAGTTTCAGTCCTGTCATCACTCACTGACACCCTACAGGATCTTTACTAATGTAACTGGTTTGTCTGAGGTCTGCAGGAGCCTTGCTAGTGGCATCAGTTTAGAAGGAAGAACTGAAAGAATGTTTTCTCAGCCTTTGCATTGATGATCCTTGTGCTCCTAGGTTTAGAGCTCATTTAAAAACAGATCATTCCATTAGATTACTTTGCAAGCATATTTGAGTGCTGAATTATTTACTCTGCATTCCATGCTTGGAAAGGAAAGGAAAACTCAAGTGTTAACAGGATATCACATCTGTTTCAGTCTCATATACCATTTCGTACCAGAGTATGTTAGAACAACCAAAGTGTGATGATGATTATTGTTAATTTCTGTAAATATTTGTCAAATTTTAGGCATGCTGTGGTGGGTTGACCTTGGCTGGATGCCAGGTGCCCACCCAGCCACTCTATCACTCCCCTTCCCAGAGGGACGGAAGAGAGTAAGGTGGGAAAAAAGAAAACAACTTGTGGGTTGATATAAGACAGTTTATTTAAAGCAAAAAGCAAAGCGAAGGTTGTGCGTGCAGAAGCAAAAGATAGCAGGGTTTATTCTCTGCTTCCCATGAGCAGCGATAGTCGGCCACTCCCGACAAGCAGGGCTTCAGCACACATGACGGTTTCTCAGTAGGCAGCCAGTGGAGACGATGAATGCCCACACTCCTGCTCCTTGCCTTAGCTTTTATATCTGAGCTGACGTCGTATGGTCTGGAATATCCCTTTGGTCAGTTTGGGTCAGCTGGCCTACTTGGGTACCTTCCCAGGATCTTGCCCTCAACTAAGGAAGGAATGTTACAGTGCTGATGCTGTGCTCAGCAATAGCCAAAACACTGGTGTGTTATCAACACCCTTCTAGGTACCAGTGCAAAGCACAGCACTGTGAGAGCTACTGTAGGGAAATGAACTCCAGCTCAGCTGGACCCAATACACATGCCTAACCAACACAGTTATGAACTCTTGTCTTTGAATTCATAACGTCTTTTTCCAAGAAAATTACAGGAAGCATTGTTTAAGGTAAAGAAAACGGAAGAGGGAAACAAAGTGTGAATTTAGGATTTCTCTCCCTCCCCCAAAACACAGAAGTTTCACAACATGGCAGAATCGAACAGTAATTCACTGCTCACTGGATGTCTAAAGATTAAAAGTTGTATTCACAAAATTAGTGGAAAGATAATATTGGAAAGAGAATCATGTGAAATAAGGAATCTCAGAATTGAAAATGGATGTACTTTGCTGTACAGGCTAGTTAACAGGTCCTTTTCGGTCTCCTGCTCTCTTTTGGAATCATTAAGCCACCACCTTTTTAGGAAAAAGTCCTTAAAGTTGCTTTTTACTTTAGGAAAAAGTAAATTTAACCACAGTTTTGAGAGGAAGTTTATATTTACTGTCAAGTTCAAATGTCAAATAATCCTGCTTTTTGGAAGGAACCATTAAAGAAAATAGTTTCAGTCTTGTCTTCTACTAAAAAAATTACTGGGATTACCATGATGCAGCAGATCCCTATCTGTTTTAAATTGATGATAAGTGGTCGGTAACAAGATTTTGAATTTTCTAAACTAACTTTCTGTTTTACATCTCAAGCTGTTCAGTATTGATGAAGGGACCTGCTAAAATAATTTCAATATTCTAGTGGTGTTTTTAACAGAGTGATCTTGGATCTTTTCTAGTATGGTGAGAATATTTAAGTAGTAGTTTATTCTTTCCTCATATACAGGCTGAGTGAAAAGAAAGGCAAACAATGTTATTTCTGTGAGAATTTTTTTATAAGCTGATCAATAGAATAAGAAATTAAGAAACAAAGCACAAAATTATTCAGCAATGTGAAATTGGTTGAAAATATCTCACAAAGATCCTTGAATGGCAGAATTGAAAAACAGATCGTCTTTGTATTTAAGGGCATAGGATTATGACTGTGGAAAAACCCATGATAGGTCAGTTGAAATAAAAAGAGAAGACTGCTGAAATTTCCGTATTGCCAGATTTATATGGTGGAAGAAGTTGGAATTACAGTTTGTCAAACATGAGCTCCAATAACAGAAGTAATTCTTTACTGTTTGATTTTTCTCAAGTTTAGCAGTTGCTAGAATGTGACTAACTGTGTAACTGAAAAAGAAAAGGATGATTTAGCACTAAGAACATTTATTACTAATTGAAACTCAGACACAGAAATTTATTTGCTTCAGTGCAGCAGAAAGGAGTGCTATTATTCTGTGGAAGTACAGAATAATTAAAAGGATTTTTTTTTCCTGCCATCTGTAGATGGTAAAAGGGGGAGTATCAGAAACAAGAATTGAGAAGCGAATAGTCATCACTGGAGATGCAGATATTGACCATGATGAGGTGAGTATGTAAACTGTTACCACTTACAATGTGTTTTTTGTAGTCTATGAGATCTAGATGATATTTCAGAAACCTGAAATAAGGGAAAGTTAGAGAATAAGAGGAATAAGAGGATATAGAAAGACCCTAAGACTGTTAATTGTGCCAGAGTTATTAAACAGTCATGTTTTGTGAATAAGGAGCCTTTTGAATATAAGTGAAAAGAAAAAACAGCATTTGTAAATTTGCATCACAGATCATGTGAATGGAGTTTTACTATTTTTAAAAGATTGCTTTTTTTTGAAAGAGACTCAGTTTATTTAATGCAGCTTTTGCCATTGGGAGGAAGAGCATTACTGAAATAATCTTATTTTGATATGTTAATCTGGATAGATGGGAGTCTTTACTGCATTATGTCAGCAATATCTGAATGCAGCACTCATTTTGACTGAAAGCTTTGGAATACATTAAAGCATAAACTGCTTGAATTTAAAACTTAGGTTTTGACCTGTATTTGTAGCAATATGTGTAACAGAAGTGATTGTTGATCTGCTGGAATCTTGTGTAAATACGTTTCATATCCATCCATAGTGAAGCAGTATTTTACAATGTGTTAGAAACTAAGGTTAAAATCACTTCTGCGTGCCCAATTAATAAGGCTGAATTTAAGCAGTACACAGGAAAATAATTGAGAAAATTCAATTATCTAGTTTTTGTAGTGATGATTACACAATTTTTGTTTCATCTAAGAAACTATGGTAACAGACAGTCAACAGTCACTGGATAATACAAATGGAAAAGTCTACTTTCTGCATAAAGTTGTATTGAATCCGTTTCTAACTTTATGAAGGCTACACAAATCAACATAACAAAACAACTTCAGAATTGTAATATACTGAGAATTCTCAAGGAATTTATTTTCACGTTTTGATTTGCCTCCAGAAAGTGGCTCTTGACAAGTTGAATCTCTTCTTGAAACTCTTAATTAAATGACAGGACTGTTTAGCATCAGGCATGACTCTTGTTTGCCTTGACACAGATGCCTGGAAAGGTCTCAAATACCTGTAGTATACCAGACAATTCTGTAAGCCCTTCTTTATTTTAAAATAACTGAGTAATTAAGTAAAAAAAAATGAAATTATAAAAGAAGGAGTACAAAATACAATTCTAATCACTGAAGTTTAAAGCAGCAGTGAGCAGCTTTTAAGAGATTTAAGAAATGTCTACCACTTCAGTGAATATGGAGCTCCTTAAATGCCCAAACTACATGCTGGATGTTTTTTCTTTTGTCTTTTAGCTCCCTCCATCACTTAAAACAGTTTTCAATAGGATAATAATACTCTAATTTGGAGTCTCAGAATACAAATACTTGTATGAAGTTGTTGTAATTTAACAGCTGGAGACAGGGTTTTTCCATTGTTTATGGTTTGATGATAAACACTGATTCTTAAATCTTAACAGGCACTTTTTTAGAAATCTCATTTGTTCTACAGAGTTTACACTCAGCATATTGTAAAAGAGAAACTAGTAAAATATAGTTGGGATTAATAATTCAACGAACATTACTAGTGCCCATGTACCATGTATGTACCACATACATTCTGGATGTATTTCCTTAATAGGACTTCAAATTCATTATCATATGGCAGGGTGGCTAATGTTGGTGTTTTCAATGTCTCTTCAGGGTTTCTTCTCTCCTTAACACCTATAGCTCAAGAAATTGTCACTTTTCTAAATTAAGATAAACCTTTTTGTTGCATTATATTTTTCTTGCTTCTCAGAGTATTTTTGAGGGTTTTTTTTAGTTGTGGTTGATACTAAGGTGAATAGTGAGCTTACTGTTGCCTCAGAATGCCTTCCATTGTCTTCTGTTTTTTTCTTGTGTTAGGTTCCAGCAGTAATACAGCTCACGGAAATAAGATGTAGATGAGGGCAAGGAATAAAAGGTCCCAGGTGCTTTCTTGCCTGTTTTGACTCAGAGGCTGCTTTTATGTGGTTGACCGTGATGTAGAATAGACTATTACATTTCAGTTAGAAGGGACTTTAAATGGTCATCTAGTTCAACTGTGTATATTGGTACATCTCTTCGGAAGATAGAATTTCTTAAAATGTGGAGGAAGGATTATAAGAAAGCGAGTAATACTTATTTGCGCTTCCCTGAGTTAAGCTAGAGAAATTTCTCTTTAACTAGAACAAAGAGAAAAATGAAGTTCTTATGCTGAGAAAGAAATTTCTGTTATGATCTCTTTCTAGAGTTTCAGTACCATACTTAGTATACATTCCAAAGAATCTTTCTATTTTGTTCAGGAAACTAAAGGGAACTCCTGTTTTTCCATCCTGTCTTACATTCTTGTTAGGGCTTTGTTTGCTAAATCTGTTGCAGAAGTTCAAAGACTTCTGAGATATAAGAATACTTTTTTTTCTCCTGAAATGAACTAGAAAAGTTATCTTACAATTTTATGGTTATTTGTTACTTCCCTTAAATCTTGGTAAGTTTTTAGTATAGTGGGGTGGGGTTTTTTCCTTTTGTTTGGGTTTTTTGGTTTGGTTTGGGGTTTTTTTGTGTTTTGGTTTTTTTTTTTTACCCTTGCTCCCTTCTCAAGTTTAGGAATTTACACTTCTGAAAAATTATGACCAGATTTTCCAAAGCTACTCTACCCTTCTCTGGATCCACATGAGTGTCCTTTTGGTGTTGTTGAGTTCCATATTTCAAATACATTTGCAGGCCCTGGCACAGGCAATCAAAGAAGCCAAAGAACAGCACCCTGACATGTCTGTGACAAGAGTGGTGGTGCACAAAGAAACTGAAATTGCTGAGGAAGATGAAGAGTAAAATAAAAAATGTCCTCAAGCAAATACTTCAGGTAAGCTTATATATATAATTACCATAGGAAAATTTAACATCAGTTTTCTGTTGCATTCGTGTCTTTCAGCTGAACAATATGTGGCATCTTTGAGATATGCTATCACTAGAGGGTGAGTTGAAACAGGTCCTAATAGAAGACTGTTAGTGTAAGAATTTTTAAGTCCGATCTGACATTAATTTTAGTTGCAAATGTTCCTATATATGTCTCCCAGTCTTGTCACAGTACTCTCATGACGTTTCCTACAATGTTGGAAATGAAAAAAAAAAAAGAGGAAACCAACAATACTGCCCTTTTTCATGGATTCAATAGAAGGATCAGAATGAACACTGAATAAATCTGCTGATGCACTTTTTATAGGCTTTTGTCTTAAAGCTCAGTAACCATTTCGGGGTGCAAAGCTTCAGATTTCCTTTGTTTGTCACACTGTTGATATGAGACTCAAGCTTCAGTTTTTTTCAAACTTGATGGTTTTGTTAATTGTAGGTTCAGATTCAAGAAAAAGGTTTTGTGTGGGATGGTTAAATATCAATGGGAGAGATTTATAAAGAAATAAAGTTTAAAAAGCAATGGTTTAAGTCTTCATAGGGAGACTTCTGACTTTTGCTGACTCTGTATTTAGCTAGAAGAGCAGAGGTGTTATTGGCACACCTCAAGAGAGATAATTGTTTCAGTACAATTGCAAGCCTTTAATATGCGCTCTGATCAATGTTAATGTAGGAGGAGACAAGGTAAAAGAAATACATTTTGTGTTTTTTAAGGAAATTAGAGTAGTCATTAGAGATTCTTATTTCCTCAGCTCGGCATTTTATACAGTGGTGGTTGTAACCCGTGGACAAGAGACTTCTAGGTCCTGTGCAGGCATGCATTCCCTTAGTATCAAACGAAGCTTTTTACCGAAGGAAACTAACTGTCAAAAATTTCGACCTGCAGCTTTAGCAGACTACTAGACATCATGAGCACAGTCACAAAGTGCCAGGAATATATGGAAAATGAGACACTGACTTGATTCCAAATTTGATGTAACCTACCATAGAGGAGGATGTCTTTCACATAATCCTGATAATTCCTTATGTTGAAAAGTCTGCTTTATTCCTGTGCCTGAGTATCACTTCTGGGATCCAGAAGAGAAAAGAAGCGAGCAGCAGTTTGAGAGGATATGAAGTGCATCTATTGAATGCTGTTCCATGGAAGATGACCATTATCAAGGAATTGGAGTCTTCCTGAACTAGTCTGATACATATTTTCAGCTGAAAGACATAGACTAAAGCCTTAGTTTATTGCATCTATCTACAAGTCTTTCTTTTCTTAACATCCGGAGATGTTAAGATGTTAAGGAGATCCCCAGCCACACATGCCTATGTGTGGCTGGGGAAAGGGAGAGCTAGTATATGTTGCCAGCTGTTGACATGTGTATGATCCGTTAAGAGACTGCAAGTGGTGAGGTATTAGGGAGAGAATTTTTCTCATCTGCTGGCAGAATTGTTGGGTCTCATTACTGCACATTTCATTTCTGGGAGTTTGTCCTGAATTCCTACTACGTGGAGCACTGCATAGAGCAGCAGTGTTGAATGCCATGGAGAAGCCTGTGAGGATAAGAGTAGGATGCCTGCTCTCTGCCTGTGGACAGAAAGTTTATGCACCTTCTCTGTCAAAAGTGGTTCCAGTTGCCTTTCCTGACCTCATAGAGATTGTGCTAGAACTACAGTGTTTTGATCATGTGTGTTTAGACAGTATCTTCTGGCCAGTTTTCCTCTGAGCTTCTCAGAGTGTAAATTTACATCATTTTCCAGGATGTAAATCACAGTGGAACTAAGTTTGAGCTGCCTGATAGATTTGGTCAGATTATTGTGTGTTTGGAAAAGAAATAAATAATTTTTGTTCATAAATGTACAAACCAGGTAAATAACATGGATCAAGTTTGGAAGTGCTAGGTCAACAGTCATTTGGATATTAATGTTATAGCATTAATACTTTTTAAAATTATTTTCACATTACATAATTCTAGAAACTGGAAATAACAAAGGACATGGGAGTTACTTGTGAGAAAGGATTGGGAAGAGCACCAAAAATGAGGCAGCATTCAAAGAGTTCCTTCCATTGTCTGAGGGTGGGGTTTTTGCATTTTTTTTGAAACATACATTGTGGAATTGTGTTTGCAGTGTATCGGAGTGTGTCAGATATTCTTGTCTGAGTTTGCCAGTTACTTTACAGGCTCGTGGTCTGAAATGCTTGCGAGAGAATAAAAGAGAACATTTCTTCATGCTGCTTTGGTATCTGAGACCTGGGGGCTTGTTTGACTGATGATGCCTTTCAGTTAAACATTAAGGAAAAGATTTAGTAGTCTAAACAAACACAGGCCACCTGAAGCACCTTAAGTATCTGTCAAGAGCCTTTTGCTCTCCTGTAGCAGCAACTGAAGGGTAGGTGGGACTGCAGAAACAGCTCTAGAAATTGTGCTTAGGCAGTGGAGTCATGCCACAAATTTTGAATAGTTGTTTCTAAGGTGTTGAAAGCTCTGCCCTCGTGACTACAGCAATATTGTTTTTGTAGACGTGTTTTCTCTAATGAAAGTGAAAGATACTGCATTCTGATTCTGAGGGATTACTAAATAGAACAAGTACCTTTATTTTTTATTTATGCACTAGGTTGTGGATTAAAATTTTCGGTAAACTGTGCAAGAAGACACTATTAAAATAACATGAGAATTTTGGGGAGCAAAGATTAGTACTTGAAGAAAATGTAGTACTGTTTGCCTCATGATTGAAGTGGGTTTTAGTCAATGCAACATTTTTTTTATGAAATTACCTTCTTTCCCCCCCCCCAAACCCCCTCTATAGAAAAAATTACTTCTTGACTCTGAAGTGGCATTCACATAGTATCTGTGACCAAATGGTTATGTAACCTTCTGCCTCATTTTCTCTTCCAGAAGTAAAAATGATACTGACCACGAAGGACTGTAATCATTCCAAGTCATCATTACTCTACCGAATCCACCAAGGCTAGCAACGATGACCAGATATTCATGACTTAAATGCCAATACCAAACTCCATTTTAACATCTTTGGTCTATATTCACTTACAATCTTTCTTGTTTATTTTTTATAACCAATTCTTAACAACCTTAGAAATTTTTTTAAATGAAGTTATAGAGGGTATGATCTTCTTTTGCACAAATACTTGTGTTTTTGAAATTGATTCTTAAGTATATGAAAGTGAACAAAAGAAGCTGGAAAGCATTGTTCACTGGAGTAGGTGGTAATTGTGCCGGAAGGAGGATCTTTACTAATTTAGATATAGGGTTTTTTCAGATATTTCAAGTGAAATCTCTTACTGGAGTAATTTACAGAATTTTTTTCAGACTATTCTGGTAAATATAATGATATCACATAATTAAGTTTTTTATAAAAATACAACATTTGCTAAAATTTGAAAAAATATATTTCTTTGAATAAATTTTATACTGGTATCTCTGTAACTCTTTCTGTTCTAAGGTTCTCCTCTCTGTGGAGCAGAGATGGTATGGCAGTTTATAGAGGAGAAGGAGTTGCAGACACATTTCTTCTGACTGAGCACTGTGTTCTTTTTGCACTTTGGTGCCAATGCTCAACTTCTTGCAGACTTTTTTGCTGTCTGCAGCATTCCAGATAAGGAAAGAAGGACAAACAAAATATCTTTCTCTTCTTCCAACAAGAGATGATCTAGGCAGCTTAAAACCGTAGTGCTTTTTTTCTTACTGTGTCCCAACTTCAGTACTTCCATTATTTGAATACATGTGTAGAATGCTCGCTTGCTATTAAACTCACTGTCTCCATGTTAGAACTGACATTTCTGTTACAGAGAAGGTATACATTTCACATGCTTCCTCTAATGGTTAGTGCAGGTTTTTAGGATACTGAGTAAAAGTGTAATATGGACTCCATTCATAAAGTAATAAGAGAGTACCATCAGTTGAGACTGCCATTGAGAAAACCTGTTAATTATACTGGGGTTTATTTTTAATTTGTTCTTGCAGAGGGGTTGGTTGTTTGGGGTTTTTTTGCTGTCGACTCTGTGTATAGTTAAAATGCCAAATTAGATTTATAGCAGCTTGAAGTTGTATTAAGTGATATTTTGCTTTCTGTAATTCTGTTATAAAATAAAGTTGTTTATTCTCTGTATGACTTTTGGCACTCAGACATAAGATTGGAGGATATTTAAAGTGAGCAGATTACTTATAAGAACTGCAGTTCTAGAAGTCACAGAACCTTGAATAGCAGGGATTAGTGCAAGTGGTCTGCAGGGCTGCCGGAAGGGTGGCACAATTGCCTGGCTCCTAGTACAGATACTAAAGTATCAGTGTTTTTAAGACATCTTCCAATAAACATCCTGGTTTCTGTAGTTTAGAGAAGAAATCCTCAGATGCCAAAACAGAGGAGATTTGGACATCGCAGTACAAGTTAGCCTCAGTCTGCAAATGGACATACTATGATCTTCAGATAACAAAACACATCTAAAGCTTCTCCCTACATTCTTTTTCTCTTCTGAGCAATGTATTTTTGGTGTTAATCTCAGTTTAGATGGCTGCCATCTGTCAACATGCTTGCATAACAGAAGTTCTTATTAGTTTTGACTTTGTATAATTTGGATAACATAAGACAACAGTAACAGAGATGTTGATTTCTATACGCATATGGGTGTTCTCAGTCACATCCCACATTACCCAGAAAAATAGCATATAACAGGTTCACCTGCTTTTCTTCAAAACCTCAGATGTTCTGCCTTTCAAAAGGGGAAAGAGAAACCCATCGGGCCTCATAACATAAGGGCATTGTTGCAACACTGTAAGAGGGTTGTTGAGGAAGTGGCAAGTTTGGGATATTTAAGTGTAGGTAAAAATAGATACACATTTTGAGGGATGTCTTAGCAGATATTCCTATAAAAGGATGTAAGCTATATAAAATCTTTAAGGTATTTTTTATGTGGTGTAGTATTAGTTGTAGATCTTGTTTGATAGTAGGAAAGCATATTGAATTCCTTATTGATTTGGATCGTCCTGATTAGTTAGACACTAGAGCAATACTTTTTTGCAATTGTATTTAATCCCTAAAACTGCAAATATAATATTATTGAAATAAAGATGTTTCACTGAGAGATGTCTTTCTTCAAATACTAATGAGAACCTTTTTCAGGGAAAAATTAATAGTGTTTTCAGGTCAGCATAGCTTGTGCACAGTTGTGCTTCCATTGATTAAATATGTACTAATTAAAGAGCCATTGTCATGCAGAAAAACATAAGCCGCAAGTGTGATCAGTCCTAAAAATAGTCAGGTTTTACAGATTCTGATTGTATGTAATTATTATTAATTGTGCAATTTTGATGAATTTTCATTCTTACTTTTTTAATATATGATATATCTATAGCAAAAACTGCAACATGCAACAAAAGAAATTGTTCTCAAGGCACTTCACAAGCCAGCTTTATAATACATGGGCAATTTCAAATACAATTAAAGGGCCATTCAGCAATTAATTCTGCTGAAATACTTTGAAAAGCAAGTCATGTGGGTCCTACACAGAGTACTGAAATCATGATCACCTAAGGGTTTGTAATGAATGTTGGAATTGTTCTACAGAGTGTTTCCTAGATAAAGGTTTCATAAAGGACAAGTATGCAACTCCAGTGACAAACTTTTAAAAAACCAAAAGATTTATTGCTTAAAGCAAAGAGCAACTGTAGTACAAATTTTTTCTTGTAACATTCTTCTATTTGACAATCAAGCTGAATAACAACTCTTAGTTTGGCCACAGAAAACATCAAATAGATGTAATAAAATAAATACCGTGACAGATGTCAAGAGTCTGTGAGATTTGATGGTGTTCAGAATGACAACTCACTGTACCTTTGGCCAGGATGCAGTGGAAGCTTTGCAGCTTTTAGGCATGTTAACCATGGAAGTGGGTTACTTGGAACTGCTGTTATCCCACACTGTCAAACTGACTACATCTGTGGAAGGTTTGAAACTTTGATTTTCAGGCTGCTCAGTTGTTTGGGATTTTTATACTGCACTTGAATAAAGATACTTGGAGTAGTAATACTAGTACAGACTACAAGCATTAAAAATATGGATAATTCTTGTAGTGTTAAATCCTACCAGAGTTTTTGGAGGTAAGTATATATGAATGGCTGTACTGGACCAGGCTAAGTGACTAACTCTCCCACGTCCCTGACTCTGAGGCTACTGGTAGTTGCACGTAAGTATAAATACTGTACTACAAAGTACTTGCCCAAATATTCTTCCAGCTTTCAGCAATTTTTGAAGACTTACTGGTCTATCAGTCTTCTGTATTTATCTGCCTCTGGATTTTTGGCTAATTGCTTTTTGAAAATTTTCTCTGGCAGGCATTTTAACCATTCTGTTTCTTAACCAAAAGGAAAAGAACCAAAACCACCTTTCATGTCTTTTGAACCTGCCCCTGCTAGCTTCATCTGACAGCATCATTGCAGATACTAGAATAGGCACCTAGCAGTCATTCTCTCCAGTCATTCCCCTGCCAACAGCTATTCCACAATTCTTTATCATTTTATCATCTTTTCTGTACCTTTCCAACTTAAATGTTGAGACTTTAAATTCTATTCTGGGAAGTGAAGAAGGAACAGTCACAGGCAAGAAGGTTTTAAACATGCTTACTGGTTGTAGATGGAATGGAATACTAACTTCACATTATTGCTGGTGACAGGAAGACAGAGAACTCCTCAGTAAAATCAATAACTGAAGACAAATTATTTCCTTGCAAGTACTCTTTCCATACATATATTTAGATAAAGCTTTTATAATTTATCTAGTCAAATACTTAGTTCTATGGTGTTATTTAAATACTTTTTTTCCTTTTTGAAGGAATTATATAGGATACAATGATGTGTTTCATGCCAGTAGCATGAAAACAAAAATATTTCTTGCTGTTATTCAGTAATGGAACTGAAAACAAGAAGGCCTGAGAATTTTCTTTACATATTAGTTACTAAGTCTTGAATGTCAGATCCTCCTACATGTTAGCAATTACAGGTCAATAAGCAGTTGTGTCAAAGGCGCCCACTGTATCTGTGTGTCATTATCTTTGGTATCCATACCACCATTTTAAGATAAAGTGGTATTAAAGAGTGATGTCACTTCTTGACATTTCAGATCTCTCCATTCTTAGACACTTTGTGAAATTAAAAAAATCAATTTTTGTAAGCCTTGCTAAAACTTTCATTCTGCATTTTTATATGTGATCCTGGCCAATCTGTTCTTGGGTGGTGAGAGAAAGGGTGTTTGGAATTGTGTATGTTACAACTCCTTTAGCATCTGATCAATATCCCAGATCATTGCTTTAAGAAGGCAGCATCCTTAAATGGAGAAAGTTAAATTCTTTGCAGTGGCTGTCTCAACTTACCTGCAAAAGATTGTATTTTCAATTGCAAACACCTGGTTCTTCACCTGTTCAGTGCAATGTATTCTATGTTATTTGCGTAGTGTCATGAATTATGTAATAATTCATGAGTTATTCATGAATAATTATTACATATTTCATGTAGTATTAAAATAGGAGAGGACTTAGGTATAGTAAAGGTACTTGCTCTTTCAGTCCTCTTCACTTCTCATAAACTTTGATAAATTACGGTGTTTTTTTAAACCTGTGGTCATGGTCTCATTAGTGTTTTTATAAAATGATTCCAAGGAGTTCTTAAAAGTCTGTGAGAACTGAAATTGTGCAAACTCACACAAAATCTCAGACAAGGCATTATCCACTCTGTTCTTGCAGGACTGGAAATGACAAGCAGCTTTAATGGAAGTTAATTACAGACAGCAATCACTAGCAGACAGGGACGGTAAACATCAGGGACAGTAATGATAGTCACTCATTCTTCATCAGTTTGGGTTTAAACTTGAGAGTCAGAATCAGAGAAGCCAAAAGGCAATAGAGCTTTCAAACAGTTTGAATTGCATTTTTGTGGGTTGTCTTCCACAGCCAATATGAGGTACACCATTACTGTGTATTTTGCTTCCAAACTTTATGGAAAGCGTATTTTATAAAACTTACAATCTTTCCCAAAGTGTACAAGCTAATAAAAAAATCAGTTCCCGTTCATCACTCAATTTCCTGGATGTCAGTGCTTGATATGACCTTGCTATTTATGCATCTTCAGTTTATTAAGACTGCCTGCCTTGTGTGCACCAGTTCAGCTCTCTTAGGAGCTCATTACATGGCTTTCTTCTTGGTTGGCCAGGGAAGGGCTCATGTGCAAGGTGCTGTCCCTCCCCCCAGATCCTGTGTCATGTAAGGGAACTGATACAGCTTATTGCAGGAAGTCTCTGGTCTCTGCTGAGGTGCACAAAGTACCACTTGCTTGGGCCCCTGAGAAAGCAAAATGGTTACAAGAACTTTTTGAATGGCAGCAGCCATTTCATTTGTACAGCACAGCACTAATTTCTTCTCTCTGTTTTGTTTTCCTCTGTGATATTTATCTACAGTTGGTTATTTTTAAACTTGCAGACCTGAGTACTGTGTTTAAGCTTGCTTCCTGAGACGTGAGACTCCCTTAAATGTCCTTGAGTTCTTGTATTTGTTGTCTTTTTGTCCAGATCTCCTGGGTTTCTTCCACTGTCCACGGTGATTCAGGAGGGCATTTCTGGGGTCTTGTGCCATGGCCAGTTCCTCATCAACTGAAAAATAAACCAAACAACACAAAAATTCCATAAGAATATACTGATTTCCTATGGTGAATTTTTATAAAGAAAAGGAACTAGCAAATATTAGTAAGAACAAATTTATTGAAATTGAAGGTGTCCAGTAGCACAGTAATATGTTTGCCCATGTTCCTAGAAGAAAGTCTTCCAAGTGTGAGATTGGAGCTGTTACTATGCCAACTGAAATACCAACACAAACTATTTACATCAGCAGAAATACTCTATTTTCATTTGCCTCCATCTTTCAATCAGACTAAAATGGTTAAACAACAGCAAGGAGTGTAGTTAGCTTGTGCAGGCAATTCATATTCTGCTTCACTGTGGCTGTGCTGTGAGAACTTCAAATTGGCCTGATCATTCTGATGCTGCCTGTGGTACAGACAGACGAGAAAAACCCACATAACTGGACATCTTCAAAACAGGATGGTGCTGTTGGAGGTTTGGAGATTATTTGAAGAGAGATGGAGAAAAAGAAAAGAAAAACAATTAGAGAAAGAGCCCAGTTAGCATAAAGCACTTGTCATTTCTTGTTGTTCAGGAGAAGTATGTGCTGTTTTGTTTGTTGATTTGGTTTTATTTATAAACTATCTCTGTATTGATATATTTATGCAAAGCCTCTCTCTTGCTGCGCAGAGAAAAATTAAGTGTTTATTCAACAACAAAGCAAGACAGTCTTGCTTTTAGTAATGCAAATTTCTCTTTTTTTTTTAAGACATCTAAGGAAATAGGTGCCTAAAGCCTGCTGAATTTCTGATGTTCTGTCAGAGAGGGAGTTGGTATTTAAAGGAGTCTGTTCTCAGGGTTATCTGTAGTTAGTTTTTTCTCTCCACCTGATGGTCTTAAGCTGAAGCTGGTTCTGCTTGCTTGCACAGGGAGAGCTGCTCAGGATGTTTTGTGTGAGTTGGCTGTAGGCCACATCAGTACGTTGGACTCTTGACAGTCTCAGCTCAAGAAAAAGGTGGTCTTGGAGATAAGGCTGGGACTGTGATGCCCTAAGTATTAAATAGAGAGGAATTCATCTCACATCCACTTGAGAGTCCCAGCCAGAACACCTGTGACCGGCAAACTGAGTGTCTCCTTCCCTGAGGCACTGAAAAGCCACATGATTTCCCTTCAAGCATCCTTCTCAGTTGTGAGAGGAGCACAGCAGCAATATTCCTATGGCAAATTAGTCTGCCAACTACTTCATTCACCGCTCTCTTAGAAACCTTGATTGCTAATCTCAGAAAATTTAGGAAACAGTTGCTTGCTTAAACTCCTTACAAATACAAAGCTAAAACTTCTGTGCTTTAAGAGAAGCAGGATTTAACACCTGGTACTGTAGATTATTTACAGACCTGCAGAAAGTGCAGCTAACAAGGATATAGGTGCTGTGAAAGAAGGTAGGACAATTGATCATGCATCATG